GTGCTTATTTACTTAATTCATATAGTTGAGGGAGAAAAACACATCGATTTATAGTTTATGACTTTAACTATAATAACTAAATATTTCTGTGCAGTTTTTCCTTAACTTTTTTTAAGCCAATTTGGCGACTGTCTTCATTCCGAAAAACTTATCCTGAAGAATTCGCTGTAATTTATAACTATATTTTGTATTTTTCTTGAACTTTAAGCTTTGCTCACATAAAAAATATTGTTTTTTTGATGGTATACTTTTTAAACATTATAGTCTCTTTTGATTTCTGATGAATAAGCTTAACAATCACTTACGGCGGCGTCTGCGGGTTGACCATGTCGAACAGCTCGTTGGCTGTGGTGGGCACTCGCCGGATGACCAGCTTGCGTCCGTCCGTGGACCCAATGCCAATGGAGGCCAGCGAGCGAACGGAGGTCACATCGGAGTAGATCTGGTTGCCGGCCAGGTCGTGAAACTGATAGGAACTGCCGCTCAGCGAGGCCTGCGGTTGCATGTAGAGCGGATTGGGGGCCTGTAATCCGGAAGTGGCCATCGATATGCCTCCGACGAGATTGCCGCTGCTGTCGTTCAGGCCCGGAAGGTAGCCTACAGGGGATTTAGGAAAACATATGCCATAGAATTACAGGTGAAAGATAATCCCTAAAACAATCATAGAGCAGTAAGAACCTTAGTGATATAATGTGTGGAATGAAAGATATCTAAATGTATTGCTTTTTTATATTATAACCAAGTTTACTGAGACACTAATGAGATAAAAATCTGTTTATTATACCTTTGACTTAAACAAATTTGTACTGCTTAAATGTTTTCGATATAAATTTAAGTATTACAAATATCTTTTAGTAGAGTATAGAAACCTTGCATGTATAAACACTACAGTCTTATTGCTAACTCTAAAAATAGTTATTTATGGGCATTTAAATTGGTACAATGTAGGTTTAATAACAAAGCAATTTGTGGCTAGTTCAACTACTGTTTTTGTTTGATGAGTCTTAAAGGCTGACACAGTCCTAAACTGAGAGCCAGAGTTCTTATTAAAGGTTTTAGTTTCTAACTATTTTTTAAACTTTCGCTGAAAAATACGAATGTACTTAAGAGCTAGGCATTTAATTATATGTAGGACAACATTTTCAAATGCCTCTTCAAGTGTAGTTAAAAGATTTAGAGGGGTTTCCAAGCAAAGCAATTGAGTACGACCAATTACATATAAGTACTTGGAAACTCAATATGAGGGTGGGGAGTGGACTGTGAGGTCTGAGGGTCACCAACCTGAGACCACGGAGCGCATGCTGCTGTGGTGGCTGCCTATCCGAGATCGCAGATCCATGCTGAGCGGCGAGATGGCCACCGCGTCCCCAGCCATGGTGGTGGTGGTGGTGCAGGTCAGGGTGGCGGGAGTGGGTGAGATGGCGGGCATGGAAACGGGAGTGGGTGCAGAAGTGGCCTGCCCATCGCAATCGTCGATGGTGAAGGTCACCGTGGAGGTGGATCCTGCAGCTGTTGGTGGATGAGTTGGCACCTGGCCAGGCTGTAGTACCTCCGAACTGGGCCTGGACTTCACCGATGTCTGGCGAAGAGGCGGCTGTTTATGCAGAGCATTCGCCATGGCCACCAACGAGGTGGTGGAGCTAGTCTGGCGGAAGGGCAGTGCTCCTGATCCCGTTCCTACTCGGGTTCCCGTTCCCGGTGGAGTTCCCGGCGTGGCCGGTATGATGATGAACTTGTGGGCTCGCGACGAGGACGAGCGGATAAGCCGCGCCTGCTCATCTCCATCGTAGCAGCTCTCTGCTCCGCTATCCGAAAGCTGGCTGTGCCTCAAGGGCGTTAGGCCAGTGGGCGGGGCACGACTGATCACCACCTGGTCGGGTGTGGTGGTCAGCACCTGGCTGGCTTCTTTGTTGTCCGCCATCTCTGCGGGAAATTCGTGTTGCTGTTGTCGCTGTGTTGCTATGTTACTATGTTGCTGTGTTGCTGCTGCTGTGTTGCTAGTTGCTGGTTACTATTTGCTTGTCGCCTTATCATAACATCATTTTTAACGTCGACTGTTGTTGGTTTTTGCACTGGTTCGCTGATGCTGGGGCCGCTTTCATATCTACATCTATATCTATCATTTTTAATGTTCGCAATCTGCGACTGCGAGCACTGGTTGACACAATTTTAAATCACATTTAAACCTTGAATTGCACAATGTTGTTATTGTTTGCCCCGTGAGTTTGAGCTTTTAAATCAAAATAAACTAAATCATGTGAAAGCCAGCACCAGTTATCTGTATTTGCTTTAATAGAGGTGGCGTTTTTAAAATTAAACAAAATAGCATGTTATTCTTTCACCGATTTAGTAATATTTTATTTTAATGTTTTATTATCTTGTTGTTTTAATACCCTCCTCAGCAAAATGCTTATCACTTTGGGAAGAATTCACTTTCCCAACTCATTGCGCTGCCATAAAACTGACTGATTTTACTTTTCTTTCAAGTGCGGAATTTTTTATGTTCACTTTATATTTATTTTTCTTATTTATTTATATAAACAAACAAGCTAAAGTTTTGTCCCATTTTTATTTTATTTTATCACCGACACAGATAAACCAGCACGAGCTCTTTGGACACACACAGGTAAATAGCAACTGGCACTTGACTCGAAAGATACAAATTTGTATCTTATCGGCGTTGCGGCCCTAAAAGGTTGCCCCGGCCCCGCCCCCTCTGTGCGCCGCCTTCATGGAAAACATTTCTTGGACTGCTTTCGTTTTAATGGTGATGTCTACGAGTAACGCTTTTACCCATATCGGGCTCTTCTCCAACAAAATGTGGGTATTTGAAAGTTTCCGTTTGTGAAAAAAAAAGAAAAACACTACGTCATAGGCACGCGATTTGCTCCAGTGACTTTTCGGTCACGACCGGGGCTCAAGGGTCACCGAGTTCGCAGAGAATAATTAATAATTACGCATCTTGCCATCCATATATCATATATCACATATCAAGTGCCGAAGCACGCTAGGGGGTTTCGTTGTAATATGAAAATCAGCCAGACTCAAGTATCAAATATGTAAATTCTCTACCAGAGCACGAGGCACGAATAAAAACCGATTAAACTAAGCTCGAAAACAGTCCAGTAGCAATGGGTATACTATTTACATAACTGTGTAAGCTTCTTAAAATATCATCTGTTGGCTTTTCGGGGCTTTCATTCCATACATCAAAATAAAACAAAACAGAAAAAAAACCTGATTGATTACCTTCACCGGCCAATAAATCATTTATGGTGCGATGCTATAACTTAATTGGTTTTACTGTTGGAAATATTGCTGAGAAAGCGAGATCCTGAGAAATGTTTTGGTAATTGCTTACTTGAGGTCTAACAATGGGAGACACAGAGTGACATCGTATAAGATACTTATACTTTATTGTAAGTCGTAAACGGTGTACATCTATAAAGCTGAGGCCACATTAAACAGATGTTCCCGCCTTGTAGAGGCCTGGACTATAAAATGCGAAATTAGCACTCCAACTTGTTAATGAAAGCTGTGCCCATCTAGTGCTAAACTCTCCATTATACAACATTTTTGTTTGGCCAGTTGCTGTCCCAAACAAACAGCCATTAAATGCTATTTTTATTGATTTTCTTTGCTGCACTTAAAGATCAGAACCAAAACAAAAATATAACACCATAGCCGAAAGATAATCACACACTTTAATTATGATAATCAAAGCGACAGCGATGGACGCTATTAATGGTAATTTCATTCAGTTTGATTCACTTTTTTCTGCAGTTTAATTTATTTTTGTGTGTGGGGCTACTCATTCAATTCGCCGAACAATGCCTAATTTCAATCATAATACTCGTAATAGCATAATCAACGCACATCAAATTACCCGACAACGGCAACCGGGTGGATTGAGATAACGTCGCGAATACTTGGTACTCGGGGTGTTCGACTTTTCGTATTTTTCCCTGGCAAGAAACACCGCACTTTCGACGACTTAATGGCCCCGGCGTAATGGCTCTGAATTTTGGATTAACCGTCGCTGATCCATGGAAGAGGCCCCGAAACCGAAAAACGTGCCTACACACGGGCTGTCAAATGTCAACTGATCCCATCCACGTTTGCGAATATCGTTTACACTTGTGCTGTGGCACACCACAAACCCGATCCGCTCTCGCTCTCTTTCTCTATATATAGTCGGCAGCTATATCTCTCCGCTCTCCCCATATCTGGCCCGACCACTCTCTCCCCGGAGAGCGGGGACCCAGTATCATGAGTGGGGCCTACGGGTTAGGCTTGTTCTCGGTCCCCCCGAAATGCTGGAATATTAATTCAGATTATATGACCACCAAGAAGAAGCTACAATTTTCGCCAAGTATATCAAGTATGCCTGCTTTATCATTTAAATAGCCAGATTCAAGTCAAGCCCAATTGAAATGCAGGCGGAATATTTAATTTAATTATCAAGTGAGTCCCCACTCCATAAGCAATCAACCTGCATTTGTTTATTTATATTTATTTATGTATTTATTAGTTTACAATAAGCGATTACAATTATTTTTTCGTTTCTCGTTTTTTCCTTTTAAATACATTTCTTTATAAGTACAATTTAACTATTGTTTTCTTTTTACAATAAGAGCGACTCTTATTATTCATTATTATCTCTTTTATATTTGCTGCCAGTGCAAAAAGTTTTGTCTATGTTCAATGTGTAACTCTAGTTAGGATCAGATTTGTAAGCGGTTCTTGTAAAGAAAAATAAAAGTGTTTGGTAATTGTGAACGAGGCGGTTGCAAAATTTGTGCACTTCTTTGAATATTCTATTCTGGTTATGGAATTAAGAAAATAATTTTATGCCTGGCATGGGTTAGGGTTAGCCTGTGTTTTAGTTCGGATTTGAGAGTCAACGTGTAGAAACCTATACACAATAATGCGCTACTAAAAATACCATAGAGTTTGCCTGTGTATTATTTACAAATTCTGTCTCTTTGTGTACGTGTCTGAGTGCGAGTTTATTTTGTATGGTATTTTACTATAAAGAAAATTATCTTTCTTCTTAAAGTAGTGACTATACATTTTGTTTACGTTTAATAATATTAATTTAAAACTTCATTTTTAATAATTTAATTATCCAGGCCCGAGACCCCGCTATCCCGCAGGCTATCATCGCATCAGGAAAAGACATGCTCTGTAAAACGGGCGCCGGAAACGGAAATTCGCTGCATAGTTTCCGGCGCGTTGACAGTGGCGTGCTGTTCCCCATGGAGTAGGAAATGGGGGGCGGGGCAGGGGCGCTGGTTCGTTGCCTTTTTAAGTACTCTCTATACTTTTGTCTCTACATATTAGTAAGTTAGTGGAAGTATCTCTTTTGCATTAAAAACAATCACAACAATTTAATATTAATTGACTATAAAACTACAAAAATAATGGTTAATCATAGTAGAGTGTAGTACAAGTAAGTGGTCGAGGGACAGTGGTCAAAATCAAATCCTCCATTAGTCGTCGTTGGAATTAAAATTAAAACAAACCTAGTATTTCCTATGCAATAGATAAGTATCTTTTGTGCGCTGATGACGCCTCAGTGGCAGTTATAGTTATGTTCCCTCATTGAATCGGTGCCTGGATCTTAATGGATCTATTTCCACGTTTTTAAAGCTGGTTAGAGTGGTCGGTTTTCTTCAGTGTGTGTGTGTGTGTTTTTGACTCTTGAGCTTTCTTACAATCCATCAGGGACAATCGTTGACATATTGTCCAGTGGTTATACGCGGTATAATATCCCATCGATCGAGGACCAACGATCTCTTACATACTGCTAGAGAGTATTCTGGGGTGCATTGTTCGTTCTTGTTGGAAATTAAAGGCAGTTTTCAATTTTAACGGGCGAGTTGAGTTCATATCTAAATTACAGGAAGTAGTTGTGTGCGTGTGTCTGTGCTATAATACAAAGTGTCGTTGCTACTACCCACACCCTAAATATTTATAGGAAGTCTTTAGTTATATATATATATAACAGTATTAATATTGATAACCGACTAATGAAGAAGTTGTCGTTAGAGGACGAGAATTCGTTTGTAGCTGCACTCTCTATGTGGTGAATTCCCTCACATCTGTTTGGCAGTTTGTGGACTCTATATATGTGGCAGCTAAACGTACAAACACTACGCGGAATTCTCATGTTAGTAGGAAGGAGAATACTAAACGTTAATACAATTAATAAAATTATTTTCTTAAGCTACTAAATTACTTTCATGCATTGTTCATGCGTTTCTCGCTTCGTCATTTTTGCTTTTTACAATAGTTCAATCTTTTTCATAGTTTCGTTTTACGGCCATCAGAACCGACTATACTTTTAGCTCACAACTGTACTTTTGTTTTTCTTTTTCTTAATATTGATTGATAATCTTTCGCGATTCGATCTGTTTTGCATAAACCTTTTGCACTTGCCTTTCAAATATTCACATAATTTTCATTATCATTCGATTTTCTTATAGACTAAAGATATAGCTAGGTGTTTGTATGTCAGTGTATCGTTACGTTACGTTTAGGAGATGTAGTCCGGCGTTGGCTCGGGCACAGCGTCGGGATTGGCGAACAGCGGGTTGGGGAACTCCGGCGGATGGGGCAGCGGTGCAATGGTCTTGGGCCTTCTCCTGTAGGCCATCAGCCAGCAGGAAACAGCCACGGCTACGGCTACTAAGGCCAGCAAGGCCGTGATGACCAAAGCAATGATCAGTCCCACCATGGACACGCAAATATCCTCGACTCTCTGGGCCGCCGGTTTAACTAAGGGTTAAGAATAAAACAAAGTTAGTTCTGGTTTCAGACCATAGTTATCCTTCAGGACTACTTACTGTTGGCATCATTGAGGCCTTGACCGCTGCGCTTCTCGAAGGTCAGAATGGCATTCGATGAGATCGTAATCTCCTCGCGCAGTTGACCCTCCACACCCGAATTCGTGGCAATGGCGGTCGTATCGTTAGAGTTGTCCTCAATGGAGCGACGACGTCGCCCGAAGGCGTTGTATCCACCACAATTGACCGGTTGGCAGCGTCCAAAGCAGACGCGTATGTTGCACTGGAATCGAATGTTATCGCTCGATGGGAACTTGAAGGCATTGAAGCTGGCCAGCAGGCTGTTGGTGTCCGGATTGTATTCCCAGTTTCCGAAGATGCTGGTATCCGTGGCACAGCCATTCTCATCCGTGACCAGATATTCGTTCTGTATATTGTCCTCCATGGTCTTGGCAATACAGGAGCGGGCGAAGCCTCCATAAATGGCTGTTTGAGAAAGATAGGGATTAGTATAGATTCTAAGAAATGTAAAAAATATAAGGTTCTTACTGGCTGGCTCCACATCCACTTGCAGCTTGAGATTATCGCCGATCTCGGCCGAATTGATCTCCTCACCCTCGTTGGTGATGATGCGCATTTGGCAGATGGGCGGTGGTCCTGTGTTGGCAATTGTTCCGGCAGTCGTTAGCATGGATACGTTGAATCCTAGGGTCACATTCTTCTCGCCAGTCTGGTAGACGCACTTGATGTTGTACGCCTGGGCCTTGTAGGTAACGAGCTTGGGATGCTTCTGAATGACCAGTACGAAACTGGCCACATCCTTCACCGCTTGCATTCCGCAGCTACCGAAGTGGACGCGGAAGATCTCGGTACGGGGAACGGTCTCACCGGCCAGGTTGACCACCCGACGGCACTCCTCATCCTTGCTGTGGCCCTTCACGTACAACACTCCATTAAATCCTGGCTCCGTGATGTGGATTTCCACCTGGACACCATCGGCCAGACAACTGACCACCATGTCGGGTCGTGGGAAATCGGTGCGGAAGTTAGTGTGGTTGCAGTGCAGCTCCGGGTTGCCAGTGTAGCCAGTGATGCACTGGCACTGGGCCCGGTGGTTCACCGCATTGCAGAAGGCATTCACGCCACACACCTTGGTCAGGCAGGGATCCTCGCAGGTCTTGGTGTCCAGGTTGCAGAATCGGTTATCGGCGCACTGTTCGTTGCTCGTGCACTCTGGCGGCTCCTCTGGCTGGCATTCGCCACGAGGAGTCAGACGGTAGCCCAGCTCAATGGGACAAGTGCAGCGACCACGTTCGTCGATCACCATGCCGCGCTCCAGGGCGCACACACAGTGACCACTCTCATCGATGCGGAAGCCTTGCTCCTCTCGGCAAGGGGTGCAGTACTCGTAGATATCCAGAGCGGTTCCCGGTGGGCAGACACACTGTCCATCCACATCCCGGACGAAGCCCTTCTCGATGACGCACAGGGAGCGCTTGTCGCACTGCACGGCTGGGTTACCGGTGTATCCCTCCAGGCACTCGCAGATCATGGTCCTCACGGGTAAAGTATCCCGGACACTGCAGAAAGCATTCACTCCACATGGCTCGGTGGCATTGCAGGGATTCACACATTCGCCGCGCAGGCAAGCCTTCTGGCTGGGACAATCCGCATCGCTGATGCAGATGGGCACATGGCGCTCCGATTCGCAGCCATTCCTTCCGGGCACGGTTCCTGGTGGGCAAGCGCACTGAGGTCGGTGCTGGTATACCTTGCATACTTCATCCTGGGCACAGATCGCAGTTGTTGTACAAACATCATCGCATTTACCATTCACACACGCTCTGTCCGTGGGACATTCGTCATCCGATCGACATCCCAATGGGGTACAAGCAATCCTGGCATTTCCTCCATGTCCCGGGATGCACTCGCATACAGCACGATGTTCAATGGCCAAGCACTGGGCATTGGTTCCACACTGCTCACCCTGGCAGGCAGGGATGCAGAGCTGATTGCGGCACTTGTGGGTTCCCGGACAGTCGGAATTGATACTGCACTCGATCTTGGAGCACTCAAACTCTGGGTTACCTTCGAATCCTTGACGACACGTGCAGACGGGCTTGTGATCCTTGATGCGGCACTCGGCATTCAAGCCGCAGTTGCAGGGATCTCGGCAGACACTGTTCAGACAGGACTTATCCACCGGACAGTCTGAGTCCGAGATACAGCCTCCAACTTCCTTAACTCCTTGCGTGGGCTTGCATCCTCCCTTTCCTTGGCTGACATAACCATCCGGACAGATGCAGAGCATCGTGCGTACCGGAGATGTGGGAGTCACCTCGCAGAGAGCCGGTCGCTGACAGGGTTCCAAAACGACACAAGGATTCACACATTGTTCGTTTATGCAGGCCTGGCGGGCAGGACAATCGGTATCCAGCTGGCAGATGGGCTGAGGCGGCGGTCGGCAGTCCACGTAGGGATTGCCCAAGAAATCGGCGGGACAACGGCACACGGCCAAGTGGTTCTGGGCCCTGCACTCCGCTCGCGGGGCACAGGGGTTGTGGTAGATGCAGGGATTCACGCACTGCTCGTTCTGGCAGGTCTTGTCTGTGGGACAGTCGTTGTTGCTGCTGCAGCCGATGACGCGGCAACGCTCATAAGGATTACCACGGTATCCACTCAGGCAGCGGCACTGGGCACGGTTCGATTGCACATAGCACTCGGCATTGGGTCCACAGGGATCGTTGATCAGGCACGGATTGATGCAGTCACCGTTGATGCAGGCCTTGCCTGAATCGCACTCGCCATCCACGCGGCATCCAATGGAGCGACAGGAGGCATAGGGATTACCCTCGAATCCATCCTGGCAGCTGCACACTGCGCGATGTTGGGTCACCTGGCAGACGGCGTTGGTTCCACAGTTGCAAGGGTTGCGGCACTGGGCATGGATGCAGGCCTCTTGGTCGGGACAGTCCTGGTCGCTGTCGCATCCTGGCTGACTGGGCGGCACCATCTTGCGGCATGCTCCACTGGCATCGGGCACCTCATACTCGGCGCACTCACATACCATTGTTCTCACCGGAACACTGTCCAGCACACTGCACTGGGCGGTTTGGTGGCAAGGTGAGAGCTCTGTGCACGGATTCTGGCACTTGTCATCGATGCAGGCCAGCTTGCTGGGGCAATCTCCATCATCCCTACACACTGGCTCCACACGCCTGGCCTCACAGTAACCATACGGATTACCCAAGGGCAATTGATCCGGACAACGGCAGACAGCGCGATGCTGCAGGGCCTGGCAGATGGCATTCTGGGCACATGGGTTCCTTTGGCCACATGGGCTCACACATTCGTTGGACACACAGGCCAGGTTCGAGGCGCAGTCATAGTCCGAATGGCATTCCAGTCGCAGGCAGCGCACAAACGGATCACCCTCCAATCCCACGGGACAGCGGCAATTGGCGCGATGGTTGCGTCCAAAGCACTCGGCATTCAGGGCACACGGATCGCTGGCCAGGCAGGGATTGATGCACTCGCGGTTCAGGCACTGCTTGTCACCGCTGCACTCGTCATCCGACTGGCAGCCAATGGGTGCGCATCCAAACTGGGCATTTCCGGAGAATCCGGGTTTGCAGTAGCAAATCGGATGGTGGTTCTTCACCGTGCACTCGGCGTTCGGTCCGCAGTTGCAAGGACTTGCGCACTGGGTGTTGATGCAGGCCTCGTTCAAGGGGCATTCGGTGCTGGACTTGCAGCCAACCAAGATCACATCAGATGCTGGAAGGGATAAACAATCAAATAAGTATTGCATCAAATAAGATTTCTCAATATCATGTTTAGATTCTAGTATCTGAACGAGAGAGTTAACATTAAATTCGTTTCTCAATGTGAAGCTAATGTTCTTACGTCAAATCTTTAGTCTGGTATCACACGATTTAGTGGTTAATTCGTTCTATCACACCTCAGGGTGATTTGATTTTTTTCGTTTTCGTTTCAGGGATTGACCATTTTAACTTGAACTTAATCTCTAAAAAATAAATTTTATCGAAACACGAGTTCAACTCAATGACAATAGTTTAAACCTATTCCGAGTTTAGTTAAAACTTTTAAGAATCCCTAATTAGAACAAGAAACTTATTTGAACACTTACGTGGCAGGCAGCGTTCCTGTGGGTTGCCGGCGTAGCCAGGTGGGCAGCGGCAGATGGCCTTGCGCTGCTGCACATGGCAGTAGGCGCCGATTCCACAGGCATCCGAGTCACACGGACTCACGCAGATTTCGTTGCGACAGATCTGATCATTGGGGCAATCGTCGTTGCGAGAGCAGCCAGGGCTGGGAATCCTTGGCCTATCCACTTCCGTGGTATAGCACTCGATGCGGGGATTGCCTTGGAAGCCCTTCGGGCAATTACACTGGGCATAGTGATCCCTTGCGGTACACTGAGCATTAACGCCGCACCGCTCCAGTCGGCAGGCATCCAGGCAATTTCCATTCGAGCAGACCTCGGGATTGGCACACTCGGAGTTGTGCTGGCAGCCGGTGATGACCTTGGGTACAGTGATGGGCACACAGTTGCGGGAGATATCCGTCACCGTGTCACCGGGACACTTGCAGGCCATGGCGCGCTTGGGAAGGGTATCCAGAACCGTGCAAGTCTGTTGCGGAGTGCAAACATGTGGCGTGGCACAAGGATCTCCGCAACGCTCATTGATGCAGGCCAATTTCGATGGACAGTCGGCATCCTGGGTACACTGAGGCTTTGGCGTCTTCACTGGTATATCGCACTGGACATGCGGGTTGCCCTGGTATCCGGGTCGGCACTCGCACTGCGGCTGATGGCGACGACCCACACATATGGCGTTCAGGGCACAGGTCTCCTGGTCACAAACCGGACGGCACACGCGATTCAATCGATCGCAGGCCTCGTGGTCAGCACAATCCTCGTTGTACTGACAGTGTCCAGTGATGCAGGAGATGAAGGGATTGCCCTGAGTTCCGGTTGGACAGATGCACACAGCCTGGTGGTTCTGGGCCAAGCACTGGGCTCCACTGCCGCAGCGCACCTGGCCATGTGTGCAGGGATTCACGCAGTTCTCGTTCAAGCAGGTCTTGTCATAAGGACAGTCGGCATTGATCTTGCACTCAGCTGGAAGATCATAGATTATATTATTATATGTAGGTCTTAGGGGGTTACTTATAGAACTTACGTTTGAAACATTGGACTTGTGGGTCACCACCCCAACCAGCTGGACAGAAGCAGATCGGTCGGGAGTTCTGCACACGACACTCGGCATTTCCGGCACAAGGATTGGCCTCGGCACAAGGATCCTCGCAGCGCTTATTGACGCAGGCCGTAGTAGGCGGGCACTCCGAATCGTGGGTGCATCCTGTCTTGATTTCAGCTGGAATGGGAATATATTGTTAGTGGTCTTTCTCCTATATACTCGTATAAAAAGCGACAGTTATATTTATTAAGAATCAACGCCAAATCCAGTAAAGCTACTGTACTCAGAATGGACTACCGTCGATTTTCTTAGTGCTAAATGTATTTGCTAGGATTTATTCTGTTTATTTTAATTTTTTTTAATTTTTAAATTAAGCTCTTAATAAATATATATAACTTACGTGGCTCATAGCAGTTGGTGAATGGATCTCCCTGGGTTCTCTCAGGACAGCTGCAAATGGCACGGTGCTGTTGGGCCAAACACTGGGCAGTGCGGGCACAAGGCGAGTTATCCAGACAGGGATTGACACAGTTTCCGCCACGACAGGCTTCCGTATCCTGGCATTGATCATGCGACGTACAGCCCTGATCTCGCGGGGGTTCTATGTATGGAAATAAGAATTAGCATTTTGTTTTTCCAGGGAAGGTGGTTGCTAAGTGTTTGAGTGCAACAGTTAAGAGTTATAGAGTGCAGTCAAAATATATATAGGTGCAACTGCTCAGGAGGTGCATCAATATAAATGGGCTTATAATCGAGAATATATATTTGTTTAAGCACTTTATATAAAAACTGCTGCTGTAATGAAAGAAGCAAACTCAAAAGTAAAGCGTATTTTAATAAGCTGGACCAAGGAACACCTGAGTATCCTTGTAACTCCAGCGGATTCTTACCTTTGTGACATCCAATGTCGGCCTCACCCACAAAGCCAGGTAAGCAGCTGCACATCATGGTGCGCAGGGGTAGGGTGTCCACCACTTCGCAGATGGCATTGGCGCCACATGGATGCGTCACATCGCATGGGTTCTTGCACTCGCCGCCGAAGCAGGCCAGTTTGCTGGGACACTCGGCATCCATGGTGCAGCCCTCCGGTTGCGTTGGCACCAGGTCGCATCTCACGGCCGGGTTTCCACTGAAGCCAGCTGGACAACGGCACTGGGCACGATGGTTCTCCACGCGACACTGGGCTCCAAGGCCACAGTTGCAGGGATCTTCGCAGCGTTCATTGCGGCAGGCCAGGTGGAAGGCACATTCGTCATCGGACTGACACTCTGGACGTTCGCAGCGCACCAGAGGATTGCCGCGGTATCCGTCCAAGCAATGGCACCTAGCTCGGTGGTTGAAGTCCGCTCGGCAGATGGCTCCTGTTCCGCACTGTGTGAAACTACAGGGATCCACGCACTGCTGATTAATACAAGCCTCATTGGCGGCACACTCTCCATCCGATCGACATCCCAAAAGGAAGCAATTCTGCTGGGCGTTTCCGGTATATCCCTCATTGCAGACGCACAGTGGCCGGTGAAGCTGAACATGGCAGCGTGCCTGTTGGGCGCAGAGGTTCGATTGCTCGCAGGGATTGCGACAAACCTGGTTGATGCAGGCCTTGTCATTAGTGCAATCTCCATCGCTCACGCACTCAGGCTTGGGCAACGGCTCTGGGATCTGTCTTAGACATTGGGCATACGGGGAACCATAGAATTCCGGCGGACAGCTGCAGACAGCCTTGTGGTTGATGGCCCGGCAGATGGCATTAATGCCGCAGGCATTCAGACATGGATCTCGGCACTTTTGACTCACGCAAGCCCTATCCCTTGAGCAATCCTCGTTGATCACGCACTCCGGATAACTGCAAGTAGCAGCTCCGTTGTAAACGCGACAGATTCCATTGCTGCGGCACGGCGAAGGCTGGCAGGGATCGATGGGCTCCGCTTGGCGTGGTTCCTCGCACTGTACGAAGGGATTGCCCACCATGTTGGCGGGACAACTGCACACCGGGCTGTGGTTGATCGTCTGGCAAACAGCTCCGAATCCACACTCTCCCACGCAGGCATCCACACACTTGGAGTTGATGCACGCCCGATCCTTGGCACAGTCCGAGCTGAGGGTGCACTCTGGGCGACAGCCCTGAGCCTGCGGATTACCAAAGAATCCGGGCAGGCACTCGCACACGGCCTTCTCGTTCTGCACGCGGCAAAGGGAATTGGGTCCACAAGGCGAGGGATAGCAAGGATCTGATGGAGGAGGTGGTGTCAACTGACGGGTACACTGGGCAAAAGCATTGCCCGTATAGCCCGGTGGACAGGAGCACACTGGAATGTGGTTATTCATGGTGCAAATGGCCTCCAGGCCACACACTCCCGGACAAGGATCCTGGCACTTGCTGCGGATGCAGGCCTGATTGGCAGGACACTCGGAGTTGCCCACACATTCGGGGCGACATCCCTCATAGGGATTGCCAATGTACTCCAGTTGGCTGCACTCACAAACGTAATTCTCTCCTTGGACGCGGCACACGGCGTTGGTACCACATGGAGAGGGGTAGCAGGGATTCTTGGGAGTCGGCGGGGGCTTGGGTTCGTCTGAAAATGGGATATTTATAAGTTAGAATGCTATATAAATCGGAATAAAGAGGGGCCCTGCCTAATTACAATATGCAAACTTGTTTGGGGCTATTTAAAATTGGGGCTTTTAAATATACATATATATGGGATATCCTTAACAGGGGACCTGCCTAATTACAATATGCAAACTTGTTTAAGGGTTCTTTAAATATTGGGCATAATATGGGTATATATGGTAGTAATATATGGACTTGATGGAAAAAACCCGATGGATAATATTCCTAGTTCAACACAGGACTTTACTTTTAAACGGCTAAGGAGAAATAAGTTTTGTGGGACTCGTTCTTGAAATAAGGACCCTAAAAGTCAAGATATAATAGGATTTTCACGGTAAATATTAGTTCGATTAGCCTTAATTCTTTTTATTTAGTTGATCTTACCACGTGGCTTGGGCAGGCAAATTCGGAATGGGTCACCAGTCATGCCCACGGGACACTGACAGTTGGGTATGTGAAGGCTGACCGTGCACTGGGCACTCTGGCCACAGCTTCCAGGACAGGGATCGGCACACTTTTGGTTCATGCAGGCCAGGTGATTGGCGCACTCATCGTGGCTGACGCACTCGGGCCGGCAATTTGGCGGGGTTCCTTGGAACTCCGGCAGACAGCGGCACTCCGCCTGGCCATTCACATTGGTGCACTGGGAGTTGGATCCACAAGGTGAGGGTCGACAAGGATCGCGAATTGGTTCCGGTATCCTGGGCACGGGAATGGGATTACACTGAACATAGGCATTTCCAGTGTATCTCGGGATGCATTCGCATTGGGCCCTATGTTGGATTGCCTGGCACACTGCATTCAGGCCACATTTTCCAGGACACGGGTCCACGCACTTGTTGTTGATGCAGCTGTGCACCTGGGAGCAATCAGAGCTGGAGTAGCACTCCAGTCGGCAGTTGGGCGGCTGTCCAAAGTATCCGGCCAGGCAGGAGCAGATGGCATTGCCATTCCTCTCCAGGCACTGGGAATTGGCTCCGCACGGCGAGGGCTGGCAGGGATTGGGAGTGGGTGGTGGTGGTTCATCGCGAATCGGCTGGCAGGACACAAACGCATTGCCCGTCATCCGCTCAGGGCAGTGACACATGGCGATGTGGTTGACGGCGTCGCAGAGGGCATTGATGCCACAGTGTCCTGGACAAGGATCCACGCACTTCTGATTCACACACGCCCTATTCCTGGCGCAATCCGAGTTCAGAACGCACTCCGGACGGCATCCGGTGTAAGGATCACCCTGGTACTCCGGCAGGCAAGAGCACTGCCCATTGTTGCACAGAGCATTGGCTCCGCAGGGCGAGGGCTGGCAGGGATCGGAGGGACCTGAAAAATAGATGGGGCCTAGCTTAGAGGAAACTTCTTGGGATTCAGGGAAATAGTGGGGCATACTCTTCGGTGGAGGAGGTGGGGGCAGCAGTCGACAGCTGGTGAACGGATCTCCCGTGTAACCAGCGGGACAGAAGCAACTGGGCGTATGATTGATGACATTACACTGGGCGTCAAAGCCACAGGCTCCAGGACATGGATCACGACACTTTTCGTTGATGCAGGCCAGATTGCTGGGACACTCCGCATTGATGGTACATTCCGGACGGCAGTAGGGCGCCGCTCCCACATAGTTGGCTAGGCAACTGCAACTAGCTCCACCATTAATCACGCGACACTGGGAGTAGGGTCCACAAGGAGACGGCACGCAAGGATCGCGGATATCGTTCGCTTTCGGTGGTTGTGGTGGTGGCACTGGCAGACAGCGGGTCAGAGCATCTCCGGTGAATCCGGGCTGACACGAGCACAGCGGACTGTGGTTACGCACATGGCACTGGGCATTCAAGCCACAAGCTCCGGGACAAGGGTCCTGGCACTTCTGGTTGATGCACGCCTTGTCCGCTGGACACTCGGCACTGATCACGCACTCCGGTCGGCAGGAGGGTGGGGTACCCACAAACTCCGGCAGGCAGGAGCAGATGGCCTGTCCCTGGGACTCGCGACACTGGGAATTGGCCCCACAAGGAGATGGCTGACAGGGGTTCACATATTCCGGCGCGGGGGCTAAAGGATAATTAAAAGGGGGATTTTTAACATTTGCAATATAGCGGGCCAAAAGCGAAGCATTGATTAAAAGCAATCCAAAAGCAAGGTTAAGTATTTCTAGTGCTAGCATATTGTCACTGAGCAGAGTCGATGGAAGATTCCAAAAGACACTCGATGGCTTTGAGATTATACAAATGAGGCAGCTGAAAGATAATCGGATTAAGTTATAGATATGAGTTATGCGTTGTTCCTGAAATAAATTATTTCCAGAAGTTTCAGCGAAGCAAAAATATATCACAGAGCTTTGATGAGGAGAGATATTATGGTCTTTGGGGTTTTATGATGATGGGAGGGCACATTGAGATCATTACTCAACAAATATTATCGGCGGGAAAAAAATATTAGAAGTAAACGTTGAGTATCTTAGAAGCGAAGCAATATAGTATCTATCATATTTAATATCACAGAATACTATCGGCGAATCAAGTATCATAAGACAGTAGTGAATCTTTGGTCAAAGCGGAATAAGATTTGCATCCCAATTATATTGGCAGATAAGGTTAGGGCACTTAAAGAGAAAGGTCTGAGACAGGAAATTGAGTACAGCGTTGTTGTTTGTGGGATTAATAAGTAGTCGATTTAAGAACGGCCTTAAAAAGTTTTAGCAAAATATCACAGAATAATATCGATGGGTTTATAAGACCAATGTAAAGCAGAGGAGCAAAAACCTTCAGCAGATCGTTGTTGTTTAGAGAATGCGCATTACGGTCGGTTTTAGGTAGCTCGAATAAGGAGATCTTCTTACGTTCACGCTGAGGAAGACGACAGCTGTTGTAGGGATTGCCCACATGACCCGGGGGGCATTCACAAACCGGGCTGTGGTTAATGACCTGACAGAGGGCATTGATGCCACAGGCCCCGGGACATGGATCGCCACACTTTTCGCTCATGCATGCCCTGTGGCTTGGACAATCCGAGTTGACAGTGCATTCGGGTCGGCAGATCTCTGAAGGATTGCCATAGTAACCCGGCAAACACTGGCAAAGGCTGAAGTCGTTGTGGGGTTGACAGAAAGCGTTGACTCCACATGGACTGGGATTACAGGGAAGGATCACCATGGCAGGTGGACTTGGTTCTGGTCGGGTGCAGATGCTATAGGCATTGCCCACAAAACCTTCGGGACAGTAGCACACAGGACTGTGGGCCACCACACGACAGAGAGCCGAGAGACCACAGCTGCCGGGGCAGGGATCAACGCACTTGTAATTCCGGCATGCTTTGTCCGCCGGACAATCGGCGCTATTCACGCACTCCGGACGACAGAAGGGTGGGGTGCCATGGTACTGGGGCAGGCAGGAGCAACGAGCTCCACCCGACGTGGCTTGGCACTCGGAGTTGGGGCCGCAGGGCGAGGGCTGACAGGGATTCACTTCGTCGCGTTCTACAGGGGGTATAACTAAAATATTGGTATTAGCTTGGAGTTCCATTGGTTTGGACATGTTTTTAGGTATACCTATGGGTTGGCAAGACAGGTAAGGATTGCCCGTCAACTGGGGTGGACAGATGCACCGTGGACCGTGGTTCTGAACATGGCAAATGGCACGAATGCCGCAAGCCCCCGGACACGGATCGCGACACCTGAGATTCAGGCAGTATTTGTCGAGGGGACAGTCCGAGTTCGAGGTACACTCTGGGCGACAGTTGGGTGGAGTGCCAATAAAATCAGGCAAGCAATAGCAAATCGCCTGTTCATAGTAGGCTCGGCACTGGGCATTGGGTCCACAAGGTGACGGCTGGCAGGGATTGATCGGAGCACGTTGGGGCACAAGGGCCGGCAAAGTCGTAGGTGTTGATGCTGGGACAGGGGGATCGCGCTTGGGTATCGGGTCACATCTCACAAATGCATTTCCTTGCATTTGCTCCGGACAAGTGCAGCTGGCCACGTGGTTGTACACATGACACAATGCATTGAGTCCACAAGATCCTGGGCAAGGATCCTGGCATTTCTGGCGGATGCAAGCCTTATCCCTGACACAGTCCGTATTGAGAACACATTCCGGTCGGCAGCCAACATAGGGATCTCCTCGATACTCCGGTATACAGCTGCACTTTCCATTATTGCACACTGCGTTCGGTCCGCAAATCGATGGATAACATGGATCCTTCGCCTCGACGGGCTCACGTTGAACCACAGGGGCTATGGGTGTGGGTTGACAGGAAACATACGGATTTCCGGTGTAACCGTTTTGACAGAAGCAATTCGGCTCGTGTTCGTGCACTCGGCATAAGGCATTGTAGGCACAAGATCCTGGGCAAGGATCGCGACACTTTTCATTGATGCAAGCCAAGTTGTATGGACAATCCGAGTTGATGACGCATTCCGGCCGACAGTTTGGTGGAGTTCCTCTGTAGTTTGGCAGACAAACGCAGGCAGCCACACCAAATCGATTGTGGCAATGCGAGTAAGGTCCGCAGGGCGATGGATAGCACGGGTTGAATTCGAAATCAGGTCTGGCCACATCGTAGTTGGGTCGACTTGGAACGTTGACCACTCCAGGAACAGGTTGTGGTCTCTGGGTTTCGTAGTGGACCTCCTGCACAGGATTTGGTATAGGGTGTGGTGCGGAGGAAATGTTGATAATTCCAGGCTTTGGTGTTGGTACCGGTTGGAATGGTTGTGAGGGTACATTGATCACTCCGGGAGTTGTTGAAGGCACAGGCTGGGGCACCGAAGGAATATTTATAATTCCAGGTACCGGAGGATTGGGCTGTGACGTTGGGTAACTAACATCCTGGTAGGATGGTCTTTGAGTTGGATACGTCGGTTGTGGAACGGAGGGTATATTGATCACTCCAGGGAGAGGTTGTGGTTTTTGGGTCGCATATTGGACATCCTGTATCGGATGTTGAGTGGTTGGAGTTGTTGGCTGAGGTAGCGTTGGAATGCTTATTATTCCAGGCTGTTGAACTGAAGTTGGTGGTGACGGTTGCGAAGGTATATTTATCACGCCAGGACTGGGTGATGGTATAGGTTGAGGCACGGAAGGAATATTGACAATTCCTGGTGCTGGAGGAGTGGGTTGTGGCGTTGGATAGTTGACATCGTATACAGGTGGATTTGAAGATGGGTATGTCGGTTGTGGAACAGATGGAATATTCACAACTCCCGGTGTCGGTACCGAGATCGGAGAAGAAGGTTGTGATGGTATATTTATCACGCCAGGAGTGGGGGATGGCACAGGTTGAGGCACGGAAGGAATATTGACAATTCCTGGTGCTGGAGGAGTGGGTGGTGGCTTTGGATAGTTGACATCGTAAACAGGTGGATTTGAAGATGGGTATGTCGGTTGTGGAACAGATGGAATATTCACAATTCCCGGTGTCGGTACCGAGATCGGAGAGGAAGGTTGTGATGGTATATTTATCACGCCAGGGGTGGGTGATGGAGCAGGTTGAAGAACGGAGGGAATATTAATAATTCCAGGCGTCGGAGGAGTTGGCTGAGGCGTTGGATAGCTGACATCGTAAACAGGTGGATTTGATGGTGGATTCGTCGGATGTGGAATCGAGGGAATGTTGACAATTCCTGGAGTTGATACTGAGATCGGTGGTGAAGGTTGTGAAGGTATATTTATCACACCAGTAGGGGGAGATGGCACAGGTTGAGGAACCGAAGGAATGTTGACAATTCCTGGTGCTGGAGGAGTGGGTGATGAAGTTGGATAGTTGACATCGTAAACAGGTGGATTCGGAGGTGGATACGACGGTTGTGGAATGTTAACGATTCCTGGTGTAGGTACCGAGATCGGTGGAGACGGTTGTGAGGGAATATTTATAACACCAGGAGTGGGTGATGGCACAGGTTGTGGCACTGAAGGAATATTTATTACTCCTGGTACTGGAGGAGTTGGTTGTGGAGCTGGATAAGTAACATCCTGAATTGGTGGATTCTGATGTGGATACGTTGGTTGCGGTACTGAAGGGATGTTATGAATGACTGGCCTTGGTGCAGGTATATTTAGAACTGGAGCTGGTACGTATATCGGTTGCTGGGGCACGGGATATACAGGCCGTGGCGGTGAAGGAATATTAATCACACCCGGTCTTGACGGAGGTGGTGGATAATACACATCGTATATAGCAGGTCGCTGTACAACCGGAGGTTGGTACGTTGGATGCACTGGCTGTGCCACTGAAGGTATATTAATAACTCCTGGTTGTGGAGCAGGTGTCGTGTTTACAGGTGATGGTATATAGACGGGACGCTGAGAAACGGGAGGCACTGGCTGTGGCGCCGATGGAATATTTATTACTCCAGGTTGCGGTGTTATTACAGGGTGTTGTGTTGGGTAGTTCACGTCGTAAACTGGAGTCTGTGGTGTAGGATATACAGGTTCCGGTACCGAAGGAATATTAATAACTCCCGGCTTTGGAGAAGGTCTCGGTGGCTCCTGGGACGGTATAAATATGGGAGGCTGAGGAGACGGTGGTACTGGCTGTGGGTACGATGGGATATTAAGAACTCCTGGTTGTTGGGGAGTTGAAGGCCTCGTTGGATAGTTAACATCGTAAACTGGTGGACTGGGTGAAGGGTGCTCTGGTTGAGGAGCTGAAGGTATATTTATTACTCCTGGTTGCTGAGGAGTGGAAGGCGGTGACGTTGGATAGTTGACATCATAAACAGGAGGCTGTGGTGTTGGGTGTACTGGTTGTGGTACTGAGGGAATATTAATTACTCCTGGCTTCGGAGCTGATGTCGGATGCTCAGGTGATGGTATAAAAACGGGAGGTTGTTGCGATGGCGGTGACGGTTGCGGCACAGAGGGTACATTGATTACACCAGGCTGCACTGGTGTCTGAGGAGGTGGTGCCGTGGGATAGTTCACATCATAGACCGGTGGATTCGGAGAAGGATAAGCTGGTTGTGGCGCAGATGGTATGTTGACCACACCAGGATGTTGAGGAATCGGACTCGGTGTAGTTGGATAGTTTACGTCATAAACTGGAGTCTGTGGCGTTGGATATCCAGGTTGTGGCGCTGAAGGAATGTTAATAACTCCAGGCTGTGATGGAGGTGATGGGCTCGCAGGCGATGGTATAAACACGGGTCTCTGAGATGTCGGGGGCACCGGTTGTGGTACGGAAGGAATGTTCACAACACCGGGTTGTTGAGGAACTGGATAGGGCGTTGTTGGGTAGTTGACATTATAAACCGTTGGTTGAGGCGATGGGTAGACTGGCTGTGATGGTATATTCACGACTCCAGGTTGTTGGGGATTCGCCGGTTGTGGTGTTGGATAGTTCACATTGTAATGTGGGGGCTGTGACTGGGGGTATCCAGGCTGAGGGACAGAGGGAATATTTACTATTCCAGGTTGTTGTTGTTGTATGTAAACCAGATCGGGTATGGCAACCGGGTAAGGAGGAGAAGGTGTATCGTATATCTGGGGTCGCACGGCTGTTTTAATTGGAACAAAGAAATAGTTTTTGTTAACCGGTTTATGAATGCCATATGAAGTGTTCTTACGTTTGGGGGTCTCAAAGCAACGTGTGAAAGGATCACCCGTGTGCGAAGAGATGCAGTAACATATGGGGCTGTGATAGTGTACGCGACACTCGGCATTAATACCACAAATTCCAGGACACGGATCGACACACTTGTGATGCACGCACGCCTTATCATAGGCACATTCTGAGTTTAGTGTACACTCGGGTCGACAGTTCGGAGGGGTTCCGTAGAACTCGGGTAAACAGGAGCACACGGCTTCATTATTTGAGGGGTGACACTGGGCATTGGGTCCGCAGGGTGAGGGATCACAGGGAGTCAAGGGTGCTATAGGGGTAGTCAGATTAATAAAATTATCTAAATTCGGGAAAGATTTTTGAATAACTGGATGCTTACATTGCTGGACAATTGGTACAGGTGCGCAGTATGCCAATGGATTTCCAGTGTAACCACTGAAACACCTGCACTGTGGCAGGTGATCTAGGACATAGCACTCGGCATTCAGCCCACAAGTGCCAGGACACGGATCTCGGCATTTTTGCTGAACACAAGCTCTGCTCGAGGGACAATCGGAGTTCAAAATGCACTCCGGTCGGCAGGCCTCGTAAGGATTACCGAAATAGTCGGGAAGACAGACGCATGAGACAACTCCCCTCCGCTGATTGCATTGAGCGTTTGCTCCACAGGGGCTGGGTTCACAGCCATTGATAAAAGGTTCCTCATACTGAAGTACCTCTATTGCAGTTGTGGGAGGTGCAGGTGAAACCTGAGGGCGTGTGGGCGGCAGACAGGAGCTGAACGGATTACCCACCAATCCAGGAGCACAAACACAGTTTGGCTGATGGTTGTAGGTTCGACAGATGGCATTGTATCCACACAGGCCGGGGCATGGATCCTGACACTTCCGATTGATGCAGGCCCTGTCGCTGGGACATTCGCTGTTGGCAATGCACTCCGGTCGACAGTAGGGTGGTACTCCCAGATACTCCGGCAGACAGCGGCAAACTGCATTGCCTCCCTCATTACTACAGTGGGCATGGGGACCACAGGGAGATGGCGAGCAAGGATCAATTGGCTCTCTCCGAACTGGTGTTAAATCTTCCCTGATCAACTGGCACTGGGAGTACGGACTTCCAGTGTATCCAGCAGGGCAAACACATTGTGGACTGTGGTTAATCACGTGACACTGGGCCAGGTATCCACATGCACCAGGGCAGGGATCGCGGCACTTCTGATTCACACAAGCCAAACTTGGTGGACACTCTGGATCGCTAACACATTCGGGTCGGCAGGCTGGCGGGTTTCCATAATAGCCGGGTAGACAGGTGCAAATTGCTTGCGATCCCACTTCCCTGCATTGTCCATGGGGCCCACAAGGCGAAGGCTGGCAGGGATGGAGCACCACTGGCGACTGGAGGGGTGTCTGCTGGCACAGCACATACGGATTGCCTTGATAGCCAACCGGACACTGGCACATGGCCACATGATTATGCACCTGGCATGTGGCTCCCGATCCGCAAGTTCCTGGACACGGGTCGAGGCAACGATTACGGATACAGGCCTTGTCCCACGGACACTCAGTACTCAAGACGCACTCCGGGCGACATCCCACGTAAGGATCACCCTGGTACAGGGGCAGACAACTACAGACACCGTTCGAACACTGGGCATTGGGACCGCAGGGCGAGGGCTGACAAGGATCATCCGCTACGACAGGGGCGACAGGAGTTGAAGGAGGAGCTGGCGCGGGATAACAGCGGTAGTAGGGATCTCCCACAAAACCACTGGGACACGAGCAGCTGGGCACATGATTTAGCACATCACACTGCGCGTTCAGGCCACAAGCCCCGGGGCAGGGAGCAACGCACCTTTGATTGACACAAGCCCTATGGCTGGGACAATCTGAGTTCTGGGTGCACTCGGGCCGGCAGAATGGAGGAGTACCGTAGTAGGAGGCCAGGCAAGAGCAAACGGCTTGTCCGTACTCCACTCGACACTGGGCAAACTGACCACATGGCGAGGGCACACAGGGGTCTCTTGGGGTTATGGGTGAGTCCCTAACAGGTTGGGGAGGAGGCAGGGGCAGGCACCGCGTATAGGCGTCACCTATGTAACCAGGGTGACACGAGCAATGTGCTCTATGCTGATGCGCTCGACAAATCGCATTCTGACCACAAGCACCCGCACAAGGATCGGAACACCTTCTAGCCACGCAAGCTCTATCATTGGGACATTCGGGATTGGTAGTGCACTCGGGTCGACAAGCAGGTGGGGAACCAAAGTAATCGGGCAGGCAGCGACACACTGCCTGACCTTGGGATTCGGTGCACTGAGAGTTGGGACCACACGGAGAGGGCTGGCAGGGATCAAAGTGGACAACTTCGACGGCTGGAGAGGGACATAAGAGTGCAGATTGGGGGTAATGGTAAATTGTTGTGTTAGTGCAAGGATTAAACGGTTGAGTGGAAGGAGACTGCTTACGTTCCGCCTGGACCACTCGACAATGGCGATAAGGATCACCATTGTATCCGGGATAGCAACTACAGCTGGGAACGTGATTAACCACTTGACATTGGGCATTGGAGGCACAGGTTCCTGGACAGGGATCGCGGCAGTGTTGATTCAAACAAGCCAAATGGCTCGAACAGTCCGAGTTGATCACGCATTCGGGTCGACATCCTTCGTAGGGGTTGCCGTAATATTCCGGTAAACATTGACATGAACCGGCTCCTCCACGTTCTCTGCACACGGCGTTGCTTCCGCACGGGTTCTGAGAGCAGGGATTGATTTGGTCCCGCTCAAGTTGAGGACGGGCATAGCATCCAGAGTACGGATCACCAATGTAATCCCCAATACAGATGCACGAGGGCACGTGGCTGACCACTTGACAGCTGGCTGCGTTTCCACAAAGACCAGGACAAGGATCCTTACATTTCTGAGCAATGCAAGCTTGGTGATTTGGACACTCGGATGATGTTATGCACTCCGGTCGACAGCTGGGTGGTGTTCCTATATAGTCTTTTAGACACTTGCAAACTGCCTGGTCATTTTGTTGAGTGCATTCTGCATTGGCTCCACATGGTGATGGATAGCATGGACTGACCGGCTCCAGTTGGACTGGTGGTGGTGGCGGTATACGGTGGCACAGGAAGAAAGCATTTCCTGAGTAACCTTGAGGGCAACTACAGTGCGGCACATGTCGAATGACCTGGCACTGAGCAAACTGCCCGCAAGCTCCAGGACAAGGATCACGGCACTGTTGATTCAGGCAAGCCAGTTGTGGGGCACAGTCCGAGTTGATGGTGCACTCAGGGCGACACTTTGGTGGAACACCAAAGTATCCAGGTAGACACGAGCAAACAGCCTGGTCGTTGGCCTCTCGGCATTGGGCATTGTTTCCACACGGCGATGGTTGACAGGGATTCAAGGGCACAACAGGTGAAGCTAAACAGGATAAGGAGTGGTTAAAAGGGGTCTCGAAAGTTAAATGTTTTCTAGATTGAAACCTACATTGCACAAGGGTACACTGGACGAAGGCGTTGCCCGAAGTTCCGGGCGGACAACTACATGTTGGAATGTGGTTGCGAACCTCGCAAGTTGCTCCAACTCCACATGCTCCTGGACATGGATCTGTGCACTTGCTGCGCTGGCAGGCCTTGTCTCGCGCACAGTCCGTATTAAGGACGCACTCCGGACGACAGCCCACGTAGGGATTGCCATCGAAGTCGGGTAGACAAGAGCACTGTCCTCCAGGGCTGCAGACTGCATTGGAGCCACATGGCGAGGGATTACAGGCATCGCGAAGGACTGGAGTTGGTGGTGGTGGAATTCGTTGGCAGCTGACGAAGGGATTACCCTGATAACCTGATGGACAACTGCAGATGGGTGTGTGGTTGATGACGTTACACTGGGCCTGGATGCCACAAGAACCGGGACACGGGTCGCGACACTTTTCACTGATACAGGCCAAATGGGAGGCGCAGTCCGGATTAATCACACACTCGGGCTGGCAATTAGGCGGTGCTCCAAAGTAGCCAGGAAGGCATGAGCACACAGCCTGGTTGCCTTGAGCACGACATTGGCCATAAGCTCCACAGGGAGAAGGAACACATGGATCTCGGTAGGTTTCCTTGGGGGGATCGTAACTAATTGCGGGTGCTAGAAAGGGTTTGGTATTACAAAGGTTCACGGGGTTACTACAAGAAATCAGATTCTTACGTATGCGCTGGCAACCACTAATGGCGTCACCCGTGAAACCAGGCAGACAACTACAGTGAGGACTGTGGTTAATCACCCGACACTGAGCACTGCTGCCGCAGACACCTGGACAGGGATCGACACAGTGTTGTTGGACACACGCCAGGGTCAAATCACACTCGCTGGAGATGGTACACTCGGGTCTACAGGCAGGTGGGGATCCAATAAAGTCGGGAAGACACTTGCAAATTGCCTGGTAGTTCAACTCTCGACACTGAGAGTTGGGACCACAAGGCGAGGGTTGACAGGGGCGGGAGGGAACCGGTTCAGGCAGGGCTGTCGGGAAAAATGGGGGTAAGAGGCAAATCCAATAATTCGTATTTCCAAGATCTGCTTACGTTCACGCAGGACACTGCAGTACACGTAGGGATTTCCCTGGTAGCCCACAAGGCAATTACATTGCGGCAGGTGTTCGCGTACTTGACATTGGGCATTTGGACCGCAGGTTCCGGGACAGGGATCGGCACAATGTTGATTGAGACAAGCTAGGTGGCTGGGACAGTCCGAGTTGAGCACGCACTCCGGTCGGCAACCCTCGTAGGGATTTCCATAGAATTCCGGTAGGCACTGACAAGCTCCGGCTCCATTCCTCTCCGTACAAAGAGCATTTGCTCCACAAGGACTTGGAACACACGGTGTAAGCGGAGCGGGATCATCTCTAACCACTTGACAGCCCACGTAGGGATTGCCGGTTTGTCCAGCAATGCATGTGCACGTGGGTGTGTGATTAATCACATAACATTCAGCGTTGGAGCCACAGACACCTGGACAGGGATCGCGGCACTTTTGATTGAGGCAGGCCAGATTCGTGGGACAATCCGAGTTGGAAACACACTCTGGTCTGCAGTTGGGTGGTGTACCAATGAATTCAGCTAGACAGCTGCATTGGGCATTGCTTCCCTGGGCACGACATTCCGCATTAGCTCCACATGGCGATGGTTGGCATGGATCAATTGGGTCTTGTCTGACAGGTGGCGGTGGTTGACGGTGACAAGCCACGTATGCATTTCCCGTGAAGGATCCAATGCAATGGCAGTTCGGATTGTGATTAATCACACGGCATTCGGCATTAAGGCCACAAGTTCCGGGACAGGGATCTCGGCAATGTTGTTGGAGGCAGGCCAAGTGCAGCGGACACTCCGCATTGCTAACACACTCTGGTCGACATGAAGGTGGGATTCCAACGAAATCGCGCAGACACGAGCACACTGCTTGTCCATTGATATTGCGACACTGGGCATTTGGACCACATGGCGAAGGCTGACAAGGATCAACGACATCGCGGATTGGAGCTGGTGGCAAGGGTCGGCATTGGCTGAAGGCGTTTCCAGTCATTCCCGGTGGACAGTGGCACATGGCCACGTGCCTGTGTACCTCGCATATGGCATTGGATCCGCATCTTCCAGGACAGGGATCGACGCACTTGTTTCTTACGCACGCCTTGTTCCAGTCGCATTCCGTGCTAAGCACGCATTCTGGGCGACATCCCACTAATGGGTTACCAACAAATTCAGGAAGACAACTACATTGTCCCTGATTGCAAACTGCATTGGGGCCACAGGTAATCAAGGAACAGGGATCACTGATTTGCGGGGGATCCCGAACGACTGGAGGTGGAGCATGGCAGGATGAGAAGGCGTTGCCAATTAGTCCAGGGGCACATTGGCAAGTAGGGTTGTGATTGATAACCGTGCACAGGGCGTTAAAGCCACAGGCTCCGGGACAGGGATCGCGACAGCGCTGTTGTTGGCAGGCAAGGTGGGCCGGACAGTCGGGGTTTATGGTACACTCGGGGCGACAGTTGGGCGGAGTGCCAAAGTAGGAGAGCAGACAACTGCAGGTGGCAGTTCCCTGATTATCCCGGCACTCGGCATACTGGCCACAAGGTGAGGGTACACAAGGATTTCGGTAGACGTCTAACTGTTGTGGTCTTGGGGCTGTAAGTTGGATGAAGAAAGGTCAACCAAATGGTATGGTGCATCCTATAAGGGAATATCTTACGTGGCATGGGCAGGCAGCGTGAAAAGGCGTCGCCTGTGAAACCAGGACGACAACTGCAAATGGGGGCATGTTGGATAACACGACAATCGGCATTGGAGCCACACACATCCTGGCAGGGATCGCTACACTTTTGCCTAACGCAGGCCTTGTCCTGAGGACACTCTGCACTGGTCACACACTCAGGTCGGCAATTGGGTGGAGCACCCACGTACTCGGGCAGACATGAGCAGATAGCCTGCTCGTTGTTTTCACGGCATTGCGAGTTGGGACCACACGGAGAAGGCTGGCAGGGATTGACATATTCTTTGAGGATAGCTAAAGGTAGGGGAGGGTATTGGTTAGCTTTTGATAGCACATCAGAATCAGTCGAGGACTCACGTTTCTCTGGAATTTGACAGTAGCGGTAGGGGTCACCAACAAAGCCATTGTGACAATGGCAAGTTGGCAAGTGATTTATTACGCGACACAAAGCATTTAAGGCACAGACTCCTGGGCAAGGATCCCGACATTTATTCTGCTGACAAGATTTGTGCGCCGGGCAATCATTATTTGTTACACACTCCGGTCGGCAAATCTCGTAGGGATTGCCGTAGTATTCGGGAAGACACTGGCAGGAACCCACGTTGCCTTCCTGGCGACACACAGCATTGGCTCCACATGGTCTGGGGGAGCACGGTTGAATGATCTCTTCGTGTTGAATCAATGGTACTTGGCGACAGGATGTGAATGGGTCACCAGTATAGCCTGGTAGGCAGTAGCACATGGCTGCGTGGCTTATCACGTGGCAATTAGCATTGGATCCACAATTTCCAGGGCAGGGGTCACGGCATCTTTGATTCAAGCACGCCTTGTCGAAGGAACACTCCGAATTGGTCACACACTCTGGCCGGCAGTTGGGCGGTGTTCCAATGTATTCAGCAAGGCAGCTGCACTGCGCCTGATCTCCCACAGCCGTACACTTGGCATATGGACCACATGGCGAGGGCTGGCACGGATGCTTTGGAATAATCTCATCACGTCGCACTGGTTCTGGGAAGCAGCCCAGGAAGGGGTTTCCATTGTGCCTGGGTGGGCAACTACAAATCGGTGCATGGTTCACCACATGGCAAAGGGCATTAAAGCCACAAGTTCCTGGACATGGATCCATGCAATGCTGATTTTGGCATGCCAATCTAGGCAGGCAATCCGAGTTATGTGAACATTCCGGTCGACAGTTTGGTGGCGTTCCAATGAAGTCCTCAATGCAGGAACACACAGCGTTGTTGTTAAATACACGGCAGCGACTATTTGGACCGCAGGGCGAAGGGTAGCAGGGATCAGGAGGTGCCAGCGACACTGGTGGAGTCTCACACTGGATAAAGGCGTTGCCTGTCATGCGCTCTGGGCAACGACACATGGCTATGTGGTTAATCACATCGCAGATGGCATTGGGAGCACAAGTTCCTGGACAAGGATCAACACACTTATGTCTTACACAAGCCCGATTTCGAGCACAATCTGCATTTAAGATACACTCCGGACGACAGCCAGTATAAGGATCTCCCTGGTACTCGGCTATACACGAACATTGACCATTCTGGCACAGGGCATTTGCTCCACAGGGGGAAGGATTGCAGGGATCGTCGAGGGCAACAGGTTTGGCTAAGGATGAGGGCAATGAATCATACACTGACTAATCAGGTCACACTTAGTTATTCTTACGTGGTGGCTGAGGTTCAGGCTGACAGTTGGTGAACGGATAACCCACATAGCCCACTGGACATTGACAACTGGGCACGTGATTGCGGACATGACAAATGGCGTTATATGCACAGGAACCAGGACATGGATCCGCGCATCTTTGATTGATGCAGGCCAGACTTGACAGACACTCTGAACTCTGAGTGCACTCGGGTCGACAATTAGGCGGGACACCAAAGTAGTTGGGTAAGCAGGAACAGATGGCCTGACCCTGGGATTGCCTGCACTGAGCATTGGCTCCACAGGGGGATGGTTGGCAAGGATCGCGTTCTACATCTTGGAGAATATGCGTAGGTGGAGCTAAACGGGAAAGGGTGAGGATAAGAACAGGGCACGTAACCACTTTATCAGCTTTTGATAACTTACGAGGAATGGGGTAACACCGGGTGAAGGGATCACCTGTGTAACCCGATTGACAAGAGCAGAGTGGAGCGTGGTTAACCACCCGACAATCGGCAGAACTGCCGCAGACACCGGGGCAAGGATCAACACACTTGTGACGAACGCAGGCCTTGTCAAGATTACACTCCGAGGAGACCGTACACTCAGGCCGGCAGCCCGGAGGAAGGCCCACATACTCCGGCAGACAGGAGCAGGTGGCCACACCATTTTGCTCGCGGCACTGAGAATTGGGACCACATGGGGAAGGTTGACAGGGATTGACATATTCCCGAATGGCTGTAAAAGAATTTAAGATGTCTAAAGGCAAGTTTTGGGATGGTATGGGAGGGATCTGCTTACGTTTCGGTTCAATGTTGCAATAACGATATGGGTCTCCCACATAGCCACTGAGGCAGTTGCAAGTGGGCAGGTGATTACGCACAAAGCATTCGGCATTTTGGCCACAACTTCCGGGGCAGGGATCGCGGCATTTTTGATTGACACAGGCCAGCTGAGAAGGACAATCGGAGTCGAGCACACACTCAGGACGACATCCCTCGTAGGGATTTCCGAAATACTCCGGCAGACACTGACAGGAACCGACTCCATTTTGCTGACGACACTCGGCAAAGGTGCCGCAGGGATTCGGATTGCACGGCTGCACTACCTCAACCGGTTGCCTTTGGATATGTGGTTCACAACGAACGTATGGATCGCCGCTGTATCCCGGTTGGCAGTAGCACATGGCACTGTGACTAATCACTCTACACACGGCATCAGTGCCACAAAGACCTGGGCACGGGTCCCTGCATCGGTTATTTGTGCAAACATGCAACTGACTGCACTCGGAGTTGGACACACATTCGGGTCGACAGTTGGGTGGGGTTCCAAAGAAGTTAGACAGGCAGGAGCAGGAAGGTGTGTCTCCCACGCGTCGACATTCGCTGTTCGGTCCACATGGTGATGGTTGGCAGGGATCTTGGGGCACAATATCTCGCTGGGGTTCAACTAAAGGTGGGGCGTTAAATATATGGCCTTCTCTATGGGTGTTCTGTTTAACTTACTAATAAAATGACATTGAACGATGGGATTTCCCGTATATCCGGGTCTGCAACTACAGAAAGGACTGTGGCTGACAGTTCGACACTCGGCATAGGCCCCACAAGATCCAGGACAAGGATCGATGCACCGCTGATTCTGACACGCCAAACTGGGGGAACAATCATAGTTGGTGCTACACTCGGGTCGACACGAGGGCGGAACCCCAAAGTAGTTGGGAAGACAGCTGCACACAGCCTGACCGTTTTGCTCCCTACATTCGGCATAAGAGCCGCATGGCGAGGGACTACAAGGATTACGATACACATCCACTAGAGAATAGGTAAGGATTTAACTGGGATTCATTAAAAAAATAGGGGGTTAACCTACATTGCACTGGGGTACATTGCACAAAAGCATTGCCCGTCATCCGATCGGGACAATGACACATAGCGATATGGTTGACCACATCGCAGATGGCATTGTTGCCACAGGTTCCGGGACAGGGATCAGTGCATTTCTGCTGTACACAGGCCAGATTTCGGGGACACTCCGAACTGAGAACACACTCGGGTCGACAGGCCACGTAGGGATCACCCTGATAGTCGGCCACACATGTGCACTCTCCCTGATTGGAGCAAATGGCATTACTGCCGCAGGGACTGGGGTTGCATGGATCTCGTGGCTCTTCACGGGTTGGTGGTGCTGTAAAGGGGTTTTGGTCTTAGTCCAGAAAAGGGTTTAACACACTGGACAACTCTCTTACGTGGCGCCGGGTGGCAGGCTAGGAAGGCATCGCCCACATAGCCCCGCAGGCAAACACAACTAGGAACATGGCTGATAACTCGGCACTCGGTCTGCTGACCACAGGCACCGGGACAAGGATCGCGGCAGCGCTCGCCGATGCAGGCCAAGTGACTTGGACACTCGGCATTGATGGTACACTCAGGACGACAATGCGGTGGAGTACCAAAGTAGTTGGGCAAGCAAGAGCAAACGGCCTGATCCTGTTGATTCCTGCACGACGAGTAGAGGCCACAGGGTGAGGGCAAGCAGGGATCGCGGTACAGAGCTACATCCCTTAAGGGCGGTGGTGGAACTGGCATCGGGTTAAACGGGTTAGGTTTGGTCAAATACACATAAGAGTTTTCCTTCTCCTTACTTGTTGGTCGGGGAAGGCAGCGCACGAAGGGATCGCCGGTCATGCCGGTGGGACACCTACAAATGGGACTATGGTTGCGCACCTCGCAGATTGCCTGCTGGCCACAAACACCGGGACAGGGATCAACGCACTTTTGGTTGATGCACGCCCTATTGGGGGCGCACTCTGAACTCGAGGTGCACTGGGGTCGGCAGTTGGGCGGGGCTCCCTCGAACTCGGAACGGCAGGAGCATACTGCCTGCTCGTTAACCTCGCGACAATTAGAATTCGGGCCGCAGGGGGACGGTTGACAGGGGTTCACATACTCATGGACAACAGCTAGTTATGGTTAGAAATACAGTACAAAACAACGTTTCAAATTAGTAACTACATCCAAGACTACGACCATGTTTAGTACAACTACGAAAATAATTGGAACTCGCTTACGTTCTGGCGGTTGGCTACAATAGCGGTATGGATCGCCGATATATCCAGCGAAGCAGTTGCACATGGGCGTGTGGTTCACCACATTGCACTCGGCATTCTGTCCGCAGCTTCCGGGGCAGGGATCACGGCACTTCTGCTGCTGACAAGCTCTGTTCGAGGGACAATCCGAGTTCAGAACACACTCCGGGCGACATCCCTCGTAGGGGTTTCCAAAGTAATCCGAGAGACACTGACAGGCTCCAGCTCCATTCCATTGGATGCATTCGGCATTGGCGCCACAAGGCGATGGCTGACAGGGATTGATGATCTCTACATCCTGTACAATGGGCTGGCATTGGGTGAAGGGATCTCCGGTCAGGCCAACGTCGCAAATACACATTGCTGTGTGGGAGACGACGCGGCAGGTGGCACTTAGACCACACAGCCCGGGACAGGGATCGCGACACTTTTGATTGATACAAGCCAGGTTCGAAGGACATTCAGAGTTGGCCACACATTCTGGTTTGCAATAAGGTGGTGATCCAACGAATTCCGCAAGACAGGTGCAAGTTGGTGTCTCACCAACAGGGCGACATTCAGAGTTGGGACCACAAGGCGATGGGCGACAAGGATCCTGAGGCACAATATCTTGACGTGGTGGCTCAATGATCTGTTGACAACCCACGAATGGATTTCCAGTAAACCTTGGCAGACAGGTACAGAACGGATTGTGGTTAACCACACTGCACTGGGCATTGCGGCCACATGAACCGGGACAAGGATCACTACACTTTTGGTTCACACACGCCAGGTGGGACACACACTCGGAGTTCGATGTACACTCCGGGCGACAGAGTGGAGGGGTTCCAAAGTATCCTGACACACATGAGCATACAGCCTGCTGGTTGACCTCGCGGCATTGGGAATTGGGTCCACATGGAGAGGGTTGGCAGGGCTGGACAAGAACAGGGGCTGAAAGGGAAAAGTGGCGTTGGAAATCTGTGGGTTTGGCCTAGAGGGGATATATTTACGTGGTGCAGGTTGGCACTGAACAAACGCATTGCCATTATAACCCTCTGGACAAGTGCACATGGGTACGTGGTTAAGGACAGTACAGATGGCATTGGGGGCACAGGTTCCGGGGCAAGGATCAAAGCACTTGTGACGCGAACAGGCGAGCTCACGTGAGCAATCCGCGCTGGTGATGCACTCGGGTCGGCAACCGCTGTAGGGATCCCCATGGTATTCGGGAACGCAGGTACAGAGTCCATTATTGCACTGGGCATTTGGACCGCAGGGCGAGGGATTGCACGAATCGTCTAGTTTAACGGCTGGTAAGAAAATGATTTGAATCCTCCCTACACTTTACATGCTTCGTTTTGAGTCTTACGTGTTGGTGGCGGTGGTGGGAGTGGTTGGCACTGACTAAACGGATCTCCCGAGTATCCTGCTGGACAAGTGCAGCTAGGCGTGTGATTAATCACATTACAAATGGCCCCATAGCCACAAGAACCGGGACAGGGATCTCTACACTTCTCATTGATGCACGCCTGACTGCTGGGACACTCGGCGTTGATGCGGCATTCGGGCCGGCAGTTGGGGGGAGCTCCCAAGTAACCCACCAAACAGGAACAGGCGGGAGCATCACCCTGAGCACGGCACTGGGAGTAGGGACCACAAGGAGAGGGTACACAGGGATCAACTGGTGCCTTTTGTATGGGAGTTGGTGGTTCAGCTTTCGAAATGATAAGATAGTTAAGACTGGGGACTTCCTTTTAAGCATAACATCACTTACGAGGCTTAGGGAAACAGCGGAAGAAGGCATCGCCCGTGTAACCGGCGCGACAAGAACAAATAGGACTGTGATTTACCACTCGGCAGAGGGCCTGTTCCCCACAAGTGTTGGGACAGGGATCGACACACTTCTGGTTCACACAGGCCTTGTCAGCCGGGCACTCTGAAGATATCGTACACTCGGGGCGACACACAGGCGGCGCACCCACATATTCCGGCAGACATGAGCAAATGGCTTGTTCGTTGACTTCCCTACACTGGGAATTTGGACCACATGGCGACGGCTGGCAGGGATTAACGTACTCCTTGACGGCTATAAAGGTAGGTAACTCGTGGAAGTTTACAAAATTCAATGAACTCTGACTGCTAGTCTTACGTTCTGGGACACACGAGCGATACGGATCGCCGGAGAATCCTGTTATGCAGCTACAACTGGGTACATGATTTAGTACATTACAGATGGCATTCTGACCGCAAGTTCCTGGACAGGGATCCTGGCACTTCTGCTGCTGGCAAGCCTTGTTCGATGGGCAGTCCGAATTGAGGACGCACTCAGGGCGACATCCCTCGTACGGATTTCCAAAGTATTCTGGCAAGCACTGACATGAACCGGCATCTTGGCGTGAGGTACAGCGCGCATTGATTCCACAAGGACTGGGATTGCAAGGATCTAACTGGTCCAGTTGCTGAATCCTCTTCACTGTACACAGAGTAAACGGATCACCTTCCATTCCCTCCGGACAAACGCAACTTGGCGTGTGCGAAAGGACTCTGCATTCTGCAGATTGACCGCACAGTCCAGGACAAGGATCGCGACACTTTTGCTGAATGCAGGCCTGATTCGTGGGACATTCTGAACTGGTCACGCACTCGGGTCGACAGTTGGGTGGTACACCAATGTAGTCCGCCAGACAAGTGCAGGATGGCGATTCGTTTACTTCACGGCACTGGGAGTATGGTCCGCAGGGTGATGGCAGGCAGGTTTGTCTTGGTGGCGGAACCGGTGGTTCGATGATCTGCTGGCAACTTACAAACGGATTACCCGTGTAACGCTCCAAGCAGCGACAGAATGGAGAGTGATTGGTAACATGGCACTGGGCACCGCGACCACAAACGCCGGGACAGGGATCACTGCATTTCTGGTTGCGACAGGCCAGGTTCAAGGGACACTCCGAGTTGGTGGTACATTCCGGACGACAGAATGGCGGGCTTCCAATGAAGGGCGTGATGCAGGTGCAGATGGCCTGCTGGTTGACAACGCGACACTGAGAATTGGGTCCGCAGGGTGAGGGCTGGCAAGGATTCTGCACGACGTCGAGCTCTGTAAGGTTGGTGACTTTTATAGTAACTAGAAAGGAGGCGGTCTTGGGGTAAGGTCTTCTTACGTGCAATTGGGCTGCACTGAATGAAGGCATTGCCTTCCATTCTTTCTAAACAGCGGCAGTTGGGTATGTGGTTCAGAACCTCACATATCGCGTTAGTGCCACAGACACCTGGACAGGGATCAACGCACTTGTGACGGACACAAGCCTTACTACGGTCACAATCTGTGTGCAGGACGCACTCAGGACGACAACCGGTATAAGGATCACCATGGTATTCCGCCAAACAAGAGCACACTCCATTGTTGCATTGGGCGTTGGAGCCACAGGGCGATGGGTTGCAGGGATCCTCAGGAGGAAGTGGGTCTCGAACTGATTTATTAAGAGGTAGGATGTGATTTATAAATTTCAGTCTTGGCTGGGGATAGGTCTTACTTTTCTCTGGTATTGGTTGAGGATTACAAACGCTGAATGGATCACCGACGTAACCGGACACACAACTGCAGATGGGCGTGTGGTTAATCACATTGCACTGGGTGTTGAGGCCACAAGAGCCAGGACAGGGATCGCGGCACTTCTGATTAATGCAGGCCTGATGACTGGGACACTCAGCATTGATGGAACACTCAGGACGGCAATTGGGTGGAGTACCCAGATATTGGGGCAGGCAGGAGCAGGATGGAGTGCCGTGAATCTCGCGACACTGAGAATTCGCTCCGCAAGGCGAAGGAACACAGGGGTCAAGGGGTTCACGCTCGATCACCGGAGGAGGAGCTGGAATTGATTTGTTCTTAATGGTAACCCGAAGAGAATTTCGAATCGTTTCTGTTTTCTTACGCGGCTGGCGGTAACAACGGGTAAATGGATCACCCGTGAATCCACTGAGACAGGTGCAAATGGGATTGTGGTTACGCACACGACACTCGGCTTGCTGACCACAAACATTCGGACAGGGATCCACACACTTGCGGTTCACACAAGCCTTGTCGGCGGCGCACTCCGAACTACTGGTGCACTCCGGACGACATGCGGGTGGACTACCAATAAACTCTGGCAAGCAAGAGCAAACTCCTTGCTCGTTGACTTCACGGCATTGCGAGTTAGGACCGCATGGAGAAGGCTGGCAAGGATTCACATAAACGCGTTCAGCTAGAAAAGAAACCAACGTTGGTCACGACATCCTAGAGCAAACTGGCAAACATCCTTACGTGGCTCGTCGACTATTACGCGACACAAGCTGTACGGGTCTCCATTGTAACCAGACAGACAATTACAAGTGGCCAAATGATTGACCACCTGACACTCGGCATTTTGGCCGCAGGTACCCGGGCAGGGGTCGCGACATTTCTGGTTGACACATGCCCGATTCGAGGGGCAGTCAGAGTTCAGAACGCACTCAGGACGGCAACCATCATAGGGATTTCCGAAGTAATCAGGCAGGCACTGGCAGGACCCTGCACCACCACGCTCCTCGCACTTGGCGTTCACGCCGCATGGACTGGGATTGCAAGGCTGCAGAACTTCAGGTGGTGAATCCCTAAATGGACTGCACTGACTATACGGATCTCCGGTGAAGCCACTGTCACACATGCATGTGGCACTATGACTGAACACCCGACAATTGGCATTTTGACCACACAATCCTGGACAGGGATCGGCGCATTTCTGATTAATGCAGGCTTGGTTTGTGGGACACTCAGAGTTCGAAATGCACTCGGGTCGACAGTTGGGCGGCGCACCCACAAATTCGGGTAGGCAAGAACAGGATGGCGATTCTCCCGATACGCGACACTCGGAGTTGGGCCCACAAGGTGAAGGCTGGCAGGGATTCTGTGGTCTCTCATCGCGAATAACTGAAAGAACGTCAGACTTGAGCATGGAAGAAGGATTAATCGAGAACCAAGGTGGCTTACTTAGCTGCTGACAGCTCACGAAGGGATTTCCGGACATGCCAGAGGGGCAGCTGCAGAAGGGACGGTGGTTGACCACGTTGCAGAGGGCATTGAAGCCACAGGTACCAGGGCAGGGATCGCGACACTTCATGTTCTGACAATCTTGATCGGCAGAACAATCAGAGTTGGTCACACATTCCGGTCTGCACTGCGGTGGACTGCCCACATAGTCAGCTAGACAGGAACAGACTGCGGTCTGTTGGACCACGCGGCACTGACTGTTCGGACCACATGGCGATGGCTGGCAGGGATTTTGAATCTTTGCTGGCGGCACGGGTCGGCACTCGAAGAAAGCATTACCGGACATTTGTTCTGGACAGCGGCAAATGGGAATATGGTTGGTAACCTCGCACAGGGCGTTAACCCCACAAGTTCCGGGGCAGGGATCGATGCACTTGTTGCGCACACAGGCCCGATCTCTGGGACAATCTGTGTTTAGAACGCACTCTGGGCGACAAGAGACATACGGATCTCCCTGGTACTCGGGTATACACGAGCATTGGCCATTTCGACAAAGAGCATTAGCTCCGCAGGGCGATGGGTTGCAAGGATCGTCGGCTACTGGTGGTGCTACAGCTATGAAAGGGAAAAGTATCGAAGGGGGTAAGCCATCACAGGATCTTTGAAATCTCTTAAAACACCTACGTTCTGGAGGTTTGGGATTGCAGTTGGTGAATGGATTTCCTATGTAACCATCGATGCAGGCGCAAAGTGGTGTATGATTGATGACACTGCAAACTGCATTTTGACCGCAGGCTCCGGGGCAGGGGTCGCGGCACTTTTGGTTGATACACGCTTGTTGACTAGGACATTCCGAGTTTATAGTACACTCTGGGCGACAATTGGGAGCCTGACCAACAAAGTTAGCCAGGCAGGAACAGGCAGGCACTCCGTTAATATTGCGGCATTCGGAGTTGGGACCACAGGGTGTTGGTATACAGGGATCCCTTAGAGGTTCGTCCTTGGTCTCAACAATCGGCGCTGTGGTACGGTATGGTTTACTATCTTTAACCCAAGGGTGACTAGAATCAGGCTTACGTGGAATGGGGAAGCAACGAGTGAAGGCGTCGCCAGTGTAGCCACTAATGCAGCTGCAAATGGGGCTGTGGTTGCGAACCCTGCAAATGGCATTGTTTCCGCAAGTATCCGCTGCGCAAGGATCCACGCACTTCTGATTAACACATGCCCTATCCACAGGACACTCCGAGGAGATGGTACATTCTGGACGGCAGGAAGGTGGAGTTCCCACGAACAAGGGCAGGCAGGAGCATACCGCTTGCTCATTGGATACGCGACATTGAGAGTTGGGACCACAAGGAGTGGGCTGACAGGGATTAACATACTCGTTTTGTGGTGCTAAAATGTTGGACTTTAGTAAGGGGAAATAGGGTGAACCTGATTGCTGCTTACGTTCTGGCAGTCGATTACATAGGCGGTATGGGTCACCCACATATCCGGTGAGGCAAGTACATTGCGGCAAATGATTAACCACTTGACAGTTGGCATTTTGACCACAAGTTCCTGGGCAGGGATCCTGGCATCTGAGTTGCTGGCAAGCCCTATTCGAGGGACAATCCGAGTCAAGCATGCACTCCGGGCGACAACCCGCGTAGGGATCTCCAAAGTACTCCGGCAGACACTGGCAGGATCCAACTCCATTTCGATCGCGGCACACGGCATTCGGTCCACATGGACTTGGGCTGCACGGAGTGCGAATTTCATTTTCATATGCGATCTCTGGTCGGCACTGGACAAACGGATCTCCACTGAAGCCCTGCTGGCAGATGCATTGCACTGCATGGCTAACCACATGACACTCGGCATTAATGCCACAACGTCCAGGGCAGGGATCGACGCACTTCTGGTTGACACAGGCCAGTTGACTTGAGCAGTCCGAACTTGTAACACATTCTGGGCGGCAGTTCGGAGGTCGTCCGATGTAGGTTTCCAGACAGGAACAGGCAGGAGCCTCGCCCACTGGGCGACACTGGGAGTAGGGTCCACAGGGAGATGGGCGACAGGGATCAACGGGAGTGACATCACGAACAGGAGCTTCAACTGGGAAAGGAAACTCTTGAAAAGGTGTCTCTTTTTGGGCCGAAACAATTTCCTTACTCTGTGGCTGACAACGAATGAAGGGATTACCCGTGAACCTCGGAGGACAAGTGCAGAAGGGACTGTGGCTGACAACAGCACAGTTGGCTCCCACTCCACATGTTCCCGGGCAGGGATCTCCGCACCGTTGGTTGAGACAAGCCTGGGTGGGTGCACACTCCGCGTTTGAGGTGCACTCAGGTCGGCAGGAAGGTGGAGCTCCAATAAAGCTTGGCAGGCACGAGCACACTGCCTGCTGATTAACCTCGCGGCACTGAGAATTGGGACCACACGGTGAGGGTCGGCATGGATTGGTCACTGAAACTATGGGTGGTGTGGTTGTTAGAGGAGCAGAAGCTAAGAAGATTAACCATTTCGACGTACTCTGGACAGGAGAACAGCGGATAAAAGCGCTGCCAGCAGTGCGTTCCGGGCATCTGCACATGGGTATGTGATTAATTACATCGCATATGGCATTCTCGCCACAAGTTCCCGGACAGGGGTTAACACACTTGCTGCGATGACAAGCCTTATCCCGAGGACAGTCGGAATTCAAAACGCACTCGGGCCGGCAGCCGGAATAGGGATCGCCATGGAATTCGGTCAGGCAAGTGCAGACTCCAGCGTTGCACTGGGCATTCGGGCCACACGGAGATGGGTTGCAGGGATCCACGTATTCGTCTATTGATTGGGTTGATTTGTTTAGCGAGGTCATGTTAAGGATTTCTTTCCATTTCTTACTCTGCGTAGGTTCAGGAGGTGGTGCTGGACGACAGCTGCTGAACGGATCTCCGGTGAAGCCAGCTGGACACACGCAAATGGGCGTGTGGTTAACCACATTACACTCGGCAGCATAGCCGCAGGAACCGGGACAGGGATCTATACACTTCTCCCGTATGCAAGCCAAATTGGAGGGACATTCTGCACTGATGGTGCACTCAGGTCGACAGTTGGGCGGAGCCCCCAAGAAATCCGGCAAACAGGAACAGGATGGCACACCTTGCACATTGCGACATTGACTATTTAGACCGCATGGTGACGGCAGGCAAGGGTCACGCTCAACACGTTCGATTACAGGTGGTGGGGCTAAGTTGGGGATTACCATTAACTGGGTGTTTACTGAGATTGAGGGACAACTCTTACGTGGCAGGGGGTAGCAGCGGGTAAAGGAATCACCAGTGAAACCTTGACGACACTGACACAGAGGACTGTGACTACGCACTCGGCACTCGGCGTTGATGCCACAAGTTCCTGGACAGGGATCCTGACAACGTTGGCTGATGCAAGCCTTATCGGTGGGGCATTCGGTACTCAATACACACTCTGGCCGGCAGTTGGGGGGCAGACCGATGTGGAGCTCCAGGCAGGAACAGACGGCCTGACCGTTGAGTTCGCGACACTGGGAGTTGGGACCACATGGTGAGGGGCGACAGGGTTGGCTGGGTTCGGTCACACGGGCAGGGACTAGAAAGGGTCGAAGGTCAGGGGCGAAAAAAGAGAGGATTAAGAGTGTTCTATCTTACGTTGGGGTGGTTCCACATGGCAGTAGCGGTACGGATCACCCGTGTATCCGGTGCGGCAAGTACAGGTAGGCAGGTGGTTCGTCACACTGCAGTCCGCATTGGTGCCACAGGTACCTGGACAGGGATCGCGACACTTCTGCTGCTGGCACGCCCTGTTGGACGGGCAGTCCGAGTGACGGACGCACTCCGGACGACACGACTGATACGGGTCACCAAAATGATCGGGCAGGCACTGGCAGGACCCAATGCCGTTTCTTTCGCGGCACACAGCATTTGAGCCACAGGGATTGGGTTCGCAGGGGGTCACCTGCTCATTGACAATGCGTTCTATGTGGGGTAAAAGGATTCAAACAAAGAGGGAGAGAGGGGACAGAGATTTTCATTAATTGCTCTCGAGTGAATCGGTTTTAGTACAATACAACACACCTGGCGTTGGTTTTGTTCAGCAGATTAATCCGATTGCAGTTGTGATATTATTGTGGCAGATTAGAGTACAACTACAAGTTAGGTGTTGGCATAAATCGCTTCAATCGAAGGATTTTGCGGTTCTGGTGCAGCGGTTCGAAAACCGCTTTATTTAGTCTGGTTAAACTCTTTGTGCTAAGTGCTTTGGCTGTGTTATGTAAGTGCGATGTGCCAATTGAATTGGCCTTGAGTTATGTTTTATGTGTCGTAAGTAAAACAAGTGTCTCTTTGCGGGGTTATATCATTTGATTTATTGCTCATTGTTAAACAATACGCTACAATGTTATACAATTGTAATTTTCTAATTAAGTGCTAACGCGGTTTTTGGTTTGTTTTCGACTAGAACTAGGTTAATTTCTTTGGCGTTCCGTAGGCAGAATTTTGGATTGGGGTCAAATCAACAACGCAGTACTCAATTTCGGGTAGTTGGGTTAGGATCAATTTGTTGGGTAGTAAGCGAATGCGGAGTCAGGGGCATTTGTGTTTTGGGCCAAATATCGAATTAGGTAAAAGCATTTCACAAGGATTATCCCCCAAATCGAATACAACAACATTAGGGGCGGCGCAAGGTAATACTTTTGGGGGCAACAACGATATATGATCAAGGGTTAAAGGCAAAATTCAAGGCGGGTGATTTGGTGTAAAGGCATTAAAGGTTGTATATAAGGAAGCAATAAGGCGTGGCAAGTTTGCATATTGTAATTGAGGCGTTAGGGGCAGTAAAAAGCAAATAAATAATTGACTAAAACTAATTAAGATCTTTGACTATCCCAGCATACAGACACTTTCAACAGCACAGCCACTCAGACAATTCGTACAGAGTGTGTGCTGAATTGAAATTTGCATTTTGCATTTTGAGTGCATTGTGATTTATAGTGAATAAAAACATAACTGGTACACTTCTTAATTTGCAATGCATTGTGCCTGTGCGTGCGGTAATCATAGATTTTAATGAATGTATATTGTGAGGTAAACACAGGCTGCCTAAAAGCACATTAGAATAAGTAACGCGGATAAAGTGAAACACAAGTGCCAACAAATAGTGCAAAACATATATTTCCAATTACAACGATTGTAATTGTTTATCATCTTATTGTTTCTCATTTATTCTAATGCGCTTATAACGAATGTGAAACATAGCTTTAAAGGGTTTTTAGGTCTTGAGCAACAGGGGAATTTCACTGAGTTTCCATTATTTTCTTTGGTTAGCCAATACTGAGGATTTCTTTAATAGTTTCACATTCTTTTGAATCTTTCAAGGCGTAAACAATTGTTTTGGCTGTGCGGCTTCTTTGTTTGATTTTAATAATAGCAAGTGTTGTACTGGGCGCCCAGTGAGCAACCAAAACCATATATTATCGTTTATAAGCTGGTTTACGCCCTGACCTAACAACTAAGTAAATGAAAACGGGGTCCTACCTTGTTCCTTTTGACAGCCGGTAAACGGATCTCCAGTATAGCCCACATCGCAGGTGCAGATGGGTTGATGATTAGCCACATTACAGCGGGCATTGAATCCACAGGCATTCGCACACGGATCCGAGCACTTCTGGCGGATGCAGGCCTTGGTCGGTGGACATTCCGGATTGATGGAGCACTCTGGTCGGCAGCTGGGTGGCGTTCCAATAAAGGTAGCGGCACACGAGCAGGCTGCGTTGCCATTCAGCACCTTGCACTCGGAATTGGGTCCGCAAGGCGATGGCTGACATGGGTTCTCTGGGGTCGGTGGTGGTTTTCTTTCCTCCTGGTAGCAGCGAGTGAACGGATCGCCCGTGTATCCAGTGTTGCAGGAACATGACGGGTTGTGGTTGATCACCTGGCAGCGGGCAAATTGTCCACAGGCACCGGGGCAGGGATCCACGCACTTCCTGTTCACACAGGCTGTGTGCAGCGAGCACTCCGAGCTGACAATGCACTCCGGTTTGCAGGCGGGCGGTGAGCCCAGCATTCCCGGTTGACAGGCACACACAGGTCCTTGACCGGAAATGTGGCACTGGGAGTTGGGTCCGCAGGGATTTGGTTGACATGGATCCTTGGCCACTGGCGTCTCGTGGCGACAGTGGACAAACGGATCGCCCGTGTAGCCCTGCAGACAACTGCATATGGGTATATGGTTGGAGACATCGCATTGCGAGTTCTGACCACACACTCCGGGGCAGGGATCAACACACTTCTTGTTCAGGCAAGCCTTGGTGGGTGGACAATCGGTACTTAAAGTACACTCTGGGCGACAACCGGTGTACGGATCTCCTTGGTAATCCTGCAGGCAGGTACAGATTCCATTCCTGCACTCGGCATTCGATCCACATGGCTGCAGGTCGCAAGGATCCTGGGAAAGTGGCGGTGACTTTGTGGTCTCTTCGATGAATTCGATGCAACGGACGAACGGATCGCCGGTAAATCCGCCACGACAGGTACAGATGGCCAGGTGATTCTGAACACGGCACTCGGAGTCCACGCCGCAGGATCCGTCGCAGGGATCGCGGCACTTTTCGGCGATGCAAGCTCGGTCTGGCGAGCAATCCGTGTTCACAACGCACTCGGGACGGCAGTTGGGCGGAGCTCCAATGAAGTTGGGCAGGCAGGAGCAGGAGGCCTGGTCGTCACGCACCCTACACTCGGAGTTCAATCCACAAGGCGATGGTTGGCATGGTCTCCTTACAGGCTCATCGCGACCCGGAGGCGGCGGTGGAGGAGCTGGATAGCAACGTGAGAATGGATCGCCCGTCATGTCCAGTGGACAGCTGCAGATCGGATTATGGTTAATCACCTCGCACTTGGCATTCAGGCCGCACGTCTTGGCGCAAGGATTAGCGCAGCGGAATTTGTGGCACGCCTTGTTCGAAGGACATTCGGCATTGACCGTGCACTCTGGTTTGCAATTGGGTGGAGCTCCAATAAAGGTATCCAGGCAGGAGCATACGGCCAAACCATTGGCCACCCTGCACTTGCTGTTGGCTCCGCAAGGAGATGGATTGCAGGGATCTGCAACTGGTGGTGGGGTAGAGACCTCCACTCGGCGACAACTGGCGAACGGATCTCCAGTATAGCCGTCATTGCAGACACAGTTGGGCACATGGTTCACAGCATAGCACTGGGCGTTCAATCCACAGATTCCGGGACAAGGATCCTGGCACTTGTTGCGGATGCAGGTCTTGTCCGTGGAACAATCGGAGCTTAGTACGCACTCGGGGCGACATCCCTCGTAGGGATTGCCCTGGTATTCATCAATACACTTGCAGGCAGCGGCTCCATTCCGTTCAATGCACTCGGCATTCGCTCCACATGGCGATGGCTGGCATGGTTTCGGCGGCTCCTCCTGCTGCGGCACACACTGGACAAAGGCGTTGCCAGCATATCCAGGTGGACAAGAGCAGGACACAGCGTGTCCTATGACACGACACTCGGCGTTGGTTCCGCAGGATTCTGGACAGGGATTGCTGCATCTGTTGTTGATGCACGCCTGTGTAGATTGACAGTCCGGATTGATGATGCATTCGGGTCGGCAGTTGGGCGGTGAGCCAAAGAACTCGGCTTGGCACTGGCAGACGGGTCCATTCCTATCTGGCTTGCAGATGGAGTTGGGTCCGCAGGGCGAGGGCACGCAGGGATCTTGAGGAGGTGTCTTGACATCCGGTGCGGGAACAGGTTGCAGAATCACGCACTGTTTGAACGGATCACCAGTTCGGCCAGGTGGGCAGCCACAGATCGGACTGTGATTGATGACCTCACAGCGGGCCTCCAAGCCGCAGGCAGCGGCGCAGGGATCCACGCACTTCTTGTTGACACAAGCTTGCAGGGCGGAGCACTCGCTGGACACTACACACTCGGGACGGCACTGAGGCGGTGCTCCGATGTAGCCCTCCAGACAGGAGCACACCGCATGTCCGTTGACATCTCTGCACTGGCTGTTGGATCCGCAGGGCGATGGGGAACAGGCCTCAATTATAGGGTCCTCTACGACGGGTTTCACACGACAGTTTACGAACGGATCACCCTCGTAGCCCTGCACGCATGAGCACACTGGGATGTGGTTCATCACCTCGCACATAGCATTGTTGCCGCAGATTCCTGGGCAGGGATCCACACAGCGGTTGCGCATACAGGCCTTATCCCTGGGACAATCAGCCGAGAGTGTGCACTCCGGACGACATCCTTCGTAGGGATTTCCTTGGTAGTTATTCTGGCAGCGACACTCTCCGGCAAAGCAGTCTGCATTTAGACCACACGGACTAGGGTTGCATGGATCGTTCACCGGTGGTGGAGTTCTTTCTTCTTCCTTCTTGGTGCAACGCACGAAAGGATCTCCCTCGTAGCCATCGATGCAATTGCAGATGGGCAGGTGGTTGAGCACATGGCACTTGGCCTCGAATCCGCAGGATCCGGAGCAGGGATCGGCACACTTCTGGTTGATGCACGCCTCCGTGGGTCCGCACTCAGAGTTCAATACGCACTCCGGACGACAGCGAGGCGGGGCTCCAATGAAATTGGGCAGGCAGGAGCAGGCCGGACTGTTGCCCACGATTTGGCACTTGGCGTTGGGTCCACAAGGAGAAGGTACACATGATGCGGGTTCCGGCGACGGTGTCGTATTGTCATTCGTGATGGCTGTAGGAATTTTTATAAAAATTTTTTTTTTGAGTTTAGCTTAACAAGTAATACTTTTTTTTTAAATCTATATTCGTTTAAGAGTATGGAATCCATACATGGATCCCACTAATTGGTGTCTTCGGATTTTATAGATATGGTCAGATCAAAATATGGTTATTTCGTTTATAATATTTAAAATCTATTGAAATATTAAACCACTAAAACAACTTACCAACTCTAGTGCACTCGACAAACGGATCTCCGGTCATGGTACGTGGGCACGTGCAGATGGGGCTGTGGTTCTTGGTGGTACAGATGGCTCGGATGCCACAGGTGTGCAGACAGGGATCCACACACTTCTTGTTCACACAGGCCCTTTCCGGAGCGCACTCGGCGCTGACCACGCACTCGGGCTTGCAATTAGGCGGCTGGTTGATGAATCCTGCCTGGCAGGAGCACACCGCCTGGTTGTTCATGGCACGGCAGTTGCTGTTGGGTCCACAGGGAGACGGATTGCATGGATTCAACGGAGGACGAGGCGTGACCGGCACAGGTTTGCAGCTGAAGAACGGATCTCCAGTGTATCCCGGAGGACAGTCACAAGTGGGCACATGTTTGTCAACTGTGCAAATGGCGTAGTCGCCGCAGATATTGTTGCACGGATCGACGCACTTGAATCGAGAGCAGGCTTGAACAGCGGAGCACTCATCGTTATTCTCGCACTCTCGTCGGCATCCTCGCTGGGCATCATAGGGATTACCCTCGAATCCTTCGTGGCAGTAGCAGGCTCCAGCTCCATTCCTCTCTCGACACTCGGCATGTGGGCCACAGGGCGAGGGTTCGCAGGGCGAGGTCGGTGACTCAGTTGGCCTCACTGCTGGGATCAGCTGGCAGCCAAAGAGCGGTTCTCCCTCGTATCCATCGGCGCAGGAGCACACAGCATTGTGCTGCACCACCTGGCAGATGGCGTTGCTGCCACACGAACCGGGACACGGATCCACGCAGCGCTCCTGCTGGCAGGACAGATGGTTCTGGCACTCGTCGTTGTTGGTACATTCCGGCCGGCAAGTCGGCGGTCGTCCAATGTAGTTGGTCTTGCAAGAGCAAGCGGCCTGGTTGCCAATCTCACGGCAAACGGAGTTGGGTCCACATGGCGATGGCACACACGGGTTCTCCACGTTCTTGACCTCAGGAGTAGGCTCACAGCCCGAGATCGGATCTCCCGTCATGCCGGGCTGGCACGTACAGATGGGATTGTGGTTCACGACCTGGCACTTGGCATTGTTACCGCACGATCCGCGGCATGGATCCTCGCACTTCTGGTTTATGCACGCCCGGTTCTGAGGGCACTCCGAACTGACCACACACTCTGGTTTGCAGCTAGGAGGAGCTCCAATGTAGCCCTCCAAGCAGCTGCACACAGCATGACTGTTGGTGTCCAAACACTGGCTGTACGGTCCGCAGGGTGAGGGCTGACATGGGTTCTCCGGGCGTCTGGTGACCATCTCGATCAGCGAGCACGAGCGATGCGGATCTCCGGTGTAGCCATCGAAACAGTTGCAGTTTGGTCCATGATTCAAGACCCTGCACTCGGCATTGATGCCACAGGCTCCGGGACATGGATCCTGGCACTTGTTGTTGATGCAGGCACGCGAGCGATCGCAGTCGTCGTTCTGAACACATTCCGGGCGGCAGCCGCTATACGGATCACCAAAGTACTCCGGCAGGCAGGCGCAAGAGCCAGCTCCATTGCGCTCCCGGCAAATGGCATTAGCTCCACAGGGACTAGGATTGCAGGGGTTCCTGGGCTCATCCGGCGGGGGAACTAGCGGAGAGATAGGGAAAGTGGGATATGTAAGTTAGTGATGAACCAAGAATTCGTTAGCAGCCAGGGGTATATTACTTTGCTGTACGATCGCACAGCCGGAGAAGGGATCTCCGGTGTAACCAGGCACACACTCGCATGCCGGCCGATGCTTGATGACCGTGCACACGGAGTGCAGGCCGCAGGCGCCGACGCATGGGTTCGAGCAGCGCTGGTTCACACAGGCCAGATTGGCAGGACAGTCGGCGCTACTGAGGCACTCGGGCCGGCAGTTGGGCGGACGTCCTAGGTAATCGGGCAGACAGGAGCATGCAGGCGAACCACGGACATCGAGGCATTTCGAGTTGGGTCCGCACGGTGAGGGGATGCAGGGATTACCGGACTTATCGGTGGGTGGGGGCTCCACTACATGCCACATTTAGCCATGCCAGATAGTTGATAGTTGAAGTAGTTTCATAGCACATTTAGACAAACATTTACATAGGTTCATAGGATAGTAGAGTTGGATAGTGGTTTGTAAAGTGTACATAAAACAAAATAAACAAGGATAGAGAATAGAAAATCAAACATTAAATAGTGTATATACATGCAGGAGGTAGAAATCTTGGGTGGGTTGGCAAGCCAAGTGGGGGATAGGATTTTATACCGTGCTTTTGGGATTTTATAAGTTCTAAGGGGAATTTAAAAGACACCATACTCTTAAGATAGAATAGGCTATATGAAAGAATACAAAATTATCCCCCCTTTGGCTTGCACTCCTCATCCTTTTGAGCTAATCATGCTTACACAATATCTTAGTGCACCGGTTGAAGGGATCTCCGGTAAAACCTGGGGCACAGGAGCATGCGGGATAGTGGTTAATGACCTGGCAGCGTGCCTCGATGCCACAAGTGCCGGGACACGGGTCCACGCACTTCTGATTCTGACAGTTGAGATCTTGGGCGCAATCCGAGCTAATGATGCACTCTGGCCGACAGCTGGGCGCTGAGCCGATGTAACCCTGAAGGCAGGAGCACACGGCATGGCCGTTGACCTCGCGGCACTGGCTGTAGGGACCACAGGGCGAGGGTCTACAGGGGTTCTCATCCCGTTCGGCTGGGAAAATGGTAGGTGGGATCAGTTGGTTTGTGTTACCATGCGGGGGGCTAGTGGTGAACCTACGTGGTGGGGGCAACTGAGGAATTTCACGGCACGCGCTTGACGGATTTCCAGTGTATCCGGCCAGGCAAGTGCAACTGGGCAGATGATTGGACACGCGACACTGGGCATTCAGACCACAAACACCTGGACACGGGTCCACGCATTTCTGGTTGACACACGACCTGTCGCGTGAGCAATCACTGTTCACCACGCACTCCGGACGGCAGCCACTGTACGGATCACCGAAGTACTCCGGCAAACAAGTACAGGAGCCGGCTCCGTTGCGCTCACGGCACTCGGCATTGGGGCCACAGGGCGAGGGTTGGCAGGGAGTCAGGCGCTCATCGGGCACGGTCGGAGCTGGAGACGGATTGGGACAAGGGATTAGGACTCGTTTCGAAAGGACTCTGAGCTCAAGCTTACGTTGTGGATTGCATCCGGCGAACGGATCACCAGTGTAACCATTGTCGCAGGAGCAGACGGGCGAGTGATTCACCACACTGCAGAAGGCATTGAAGCCACACGATCCCGGACAGGGATCCTGGCAGCGCTCATTGACGCAGGCCAGGGTGGCGGGACATTCGGTGTTGATGGTACACTCTGGTCGGCAGTTGGGTGCCCTGCCCACGAAATTGGGCAGGCAGGAGCAGACACCCGTCTCACCCACGACACGGCACTGGGAATTGCGTCCGCAGGGACTGGGCACACAAGGATTCTCATTGGACTTGGGCTGCTCCGGCTCCTCCTGCCATGGCGCACAGCGTACGAACGGATCGCCGCTGTAGCCGGCTGGGCAGGAGCAGATCGGGTTATGGTTGGTCACCTTGCAGATGGCCTCGTTGCCACAATTGCCCGTACACGGGTCCACACAGCGTTGGTTCACGCACGCCCTGTCCTGAGCACACTCGGAGCTAACCGAGCACTCCGGACGACAGGCGGGCGGAGTGCCAATGTAGTTGGTAACGCAGGAGCAGACCGCATGGCCGTTCACCTCACGGCACTGGCTATAAGGACCGCAGGGCGATGGACGGCATGGTTCAACGGGAGCGGCCACTAAAAATCAGGGGTACCATTATTATACCGTTTAGGGGATTAGGTAGAACTATAGAGTGGGTAGGTCTTTAGGGATTCGATGAGGCCAGATTGTACAATAAGTTAGGATCAGATAGACATGTTTAGAAACTAAAATTGTTTCCAAAGAACTTAAAAATGTTTGGAAGAAATAGCTCTGTTAAACTATAATCGTTTCCCAAAAAGTCGACCCACCCTATTCGAAACTACTTCCTACATTTTGGTATCTCGCGACAGTATTGCGAGGGATTGCCCGTGAATCCGGAGGGACAACTGCAGCTGGGGGCGTGATTGATCACATGGCACTCGGCGGAGACGCCACAGACACCGGGACAGGGATCGCGGCACTTGTTGTTGAGGCAGGCGCGGTTCTTCGAGCAGTCACTATTGAGCACACACTCCGGTCGGCACTCGGTGTAGGGGTCTCCATTGTACTCCGGCAGGCAGGAGCAGGAGCCAACTCCATTGCGCTCCTTGCACACGGCATTGGCGCCGCAGGGACTGGGGTTGCAGGGTTGTGCCACCTCTGGCGGGACAATAACTAGGGATGGGGGAAAGGTCAGCGGTTTAGTATGTGGTTGGAAAGCTGGGCTTTCGGGTCCCTTACTCTTCGGACTACACTCTGAGAATGGGTCCCCTGCATAGCCGTCAATGCAGCGGCAAATGGGTCTATGATTATTTACAAGGCAAGTGGTCTGGATGCCGCAGGTACCGACACACGGATCCCGGCAGCGCAGATTGATGCAGGCCAAATTGCCGGGGCACTCGGAGTCCGAGGTGCACTCCGGCCGGCAATTCGGGGCCCTACCCACATAATGTTGCAAGCATGAGCAGACAGCCTGCTCATTGGCAGGAGATACCCGGCACTCAGAGTTGGGACCACATGGCGAGGGAACGCACGGATCGATGCGATCATGGGTGATTTCCGGCCGCTCTACTTTCACCATTTATAACCATCACATTACACCAAGTACGAGATAATCATCATGCACAATAATAAGCCATACATAGAGTACATATAAAAGAAATAAACATAATGGGAAAAATATATATAGAGGATGCGAGCAATGTTGTCAAGCAGGATGTGGAATGAATAGAGTTCTCAAAGAGCTCTGCGATGAAGAAATGATTCGGTGAATGGTTGGCATAAATACCCCTGCAGGATAGCTTTAAATATATAATGGGCCAATTTACATTGAAGGGGTCTGAATAATACGGGTTTTTTTTTAAAAGCTTTTGATACTAGTTGAACGGAAAACATATTCAAAGAATTATAATTAGGGTCCCAGAATAAGAAGGAACATCTTTTCATTATCTCTGCAGGGGAACTTAAATCTCCGGCTGGCCGAAGCTAAGCTTCCTTCGACTCCTTGCGGATGCTTACTCTCTTGCGGGAAGCAGCGCACGAAGGGATCACCGCTGAAGCCGGGACTGCAGGAGCAGATGGGGTTGTGGTTGACCACGCGGCAGAGGGCGTTATTGCCACAGGTGCCCGGGCAGGGATCCTTGCAGCGTTCGTTGAGGCACGACTTGTCCTGCGCACACTCCGAGCTGCTCATGCACTCGGGCCGGCAGTTGGGAGGGGAACCGATGTAGTTGGGCACACAGGAGCAGACTGCGTGGCCATTGACCGGACGACAGTTGCTGTAGAGGCCGCAGGGCGAGGGTTGGCAAGGATTTTCGGGCACTATGGGGTCAGGATCTACAGACGTGGTAAACGGAGCTATTAATAGGGTTCCTAACTAAGGGCCTAACTTGCAGTGAGGAAAGGAACTACCAAGACAGAAAAGATGGTATAAAGCTATAGATAGAAATCTGAATTAGAAATCTTTATATCTAAGAAGGTTTATATAAAATCGATAACTTCGAGTTAAGCACATAGCTTCCTTCTTTATAAAATCTCTTCTAACTAGGTACTCCCCATCACTGCTAACGTGACTAGATCTTACAGCGAATCTCAGGGACCTGGTGGCAACCAACGATGGGGTTACCCGTGTAACCAGGTAGGCACTCGCAGTTGGGGGCATGGTTAAAGACAGCGCACTGGGCGTTGTGACCGCACATTCCTGGACACGGATCCACGCACTTCTGGTTGACGCAGGCACGCGACCTGGGACAGTCCGAGTTGATGACACACTCGGGGCGACACTCGACGTACGGATCGCCAAAATACTCCGGTAGACACTTGCAGGCGGCGGCTTGATTTCGCTCCTCGCAAAGGGCATTCAAGCCACACGGACTGGGACGACAAGGTTGGATCACCTCAATGGGCGCTGTATGGGCGGGGCAAGCAAGAGGGAGTAAGTATCTAACCATTAAGGGAAACCCTAACAAAAACCTACTCTCAATGATCTTGTAGCAGCCGGAGAACGGATCGCCGGAGAAACCAGGTTCGCACATGCAAACCGGGGCATGCAGGCTGACATGACAGAGTGCGTTGTTTCCACAAGATCCGATACAGGGATCGGCACATCGAGCATTGACGCAGGCCATTCTGGCCGGGCACTCGGAATTTATGCTGCACTCTGGCCGACAGCCAGGCGGACGTCCTATGTAGTTGGTTAAGCAGGAGCAGACTGCTCCGCTGCTCGAAACCTGGCATTGAGAATTGGGTCCACAAGGTGATGGCACACAAGGATTGGCTGGTACAATGGGATCGGCTATTGGCGGTGGTTCTACAACATAATGATACTCTTAGTTGTGGTCTATCTTATTGGGGGAAGACCTAATGGAAAACCTACTTCTTTCAGGCACGCACTGGTGGAACGGATCCCCAGTGTAGCCATCGTAGCAACTGCAGATGGGCGAGTGATTGGTGCAGCGACAACGAGCATTGTAGCCGCAAGTTCCGGGACACGGATCTTTGCACCGTTGGTTGATACAGGCCCTGTCCGAGGGACACTCGGCACTGGTCATGCATTCGGGCTTGCAGTTGGGAGGAGCACCCATGTAGTCTGGCAAGCAGGCACACACGGGACGATCTCCAACCACATGGCAAGTGCTGAATAGGCCACAAGGTGAGGGTCTACAAGGGTCTTTTGGCAGGGGCAGGTACATATCTGTATGCGGGGAGGGACAGAGCAGTTAGATCAAGGATTCTGGACGGAGGGGTCTACGGAAGAGTGGGTCGATTTGACACCAGAGATGAGGACTGTAGTCTACTTATGTTTCAATAATTTGGAATTAGATTTATCGTCCTTCATTACAGTTAAAAAAGCTCCTTTGTAAGGATTAATATAAATCAGGAGCTGGACTATCTCTCACAAATCGACCCACCCCAGGATAAAGTCATACTTGTGGGTCTTTCGACGCATGCGCGCAGAGGATTGCCGGTGAAACCTGGTTCACAACTGCACACCGGCTGGTGGTGGGCCACCCGACAGATGGCATTGAATCCGCAGGCATTGGCACACGGATCGCGGCACTTCATATTGATACAGGCCCGGCTGCAGGGACAATCGCTATTCTGCACGCATTCCGGGCGGCAATTGATGTACGGATCACCGAAATAGTTTTGGATGCAGGTGCAGGAGCCGACTCCATTGCGCACACGACAAATGGCATTGGCACCACATGGCGATGGGTAGCATGGATCAGAGGGTGGATCTGGCACCACGACTGTCATGGTCATGAAAATAGCAAGCAGGCAATGCGGATGCATACAGAGAAATGTACAAACACAATAGACTTAAGACTAAATAATAGTAATAAAGATAATAATAGTAAATGTATAGGTACATAAATGAAAGACATAATATATACACAATACAAGGAACATGCATGAGATGTACACCACAATACCAATACTTCTAGAGCACCACTGAAAGGAACATTTAACATTAAGGGCGCGTCTCGAGCACACATCCGTGCTCCTGGAAAGGATAGCAAATAGTCCAAGGATCTGTACTCACTCTCACGCATTCTGCAGGCGGTGTACGGATCACCCTCGAAGCTCTCAATGCAACTGCACTTGGGCTGATGGTTTTGAGTGGAGCACACGGCATTGAAGCCGCAAATTCCGATACAGGGATCTTCGCATCTTTGACGTATGCAAGCCCGATTCGATGGGCAATCCTGGTTAATCACACACTCGGGTCGACAATTTGGTGGGGCTCCAAACATTCCTGGGGCACAAGAGCACTCCGCTCGATTGTTCACATTGCGACAAACGGAATTGGAGCCACATGGGCTGGGTAGGCAAGGATCCGCATGGCGTTCCGCTTCTGGTGGTGCTGGGGATTTTAGTTGAATGATAAATATATATTCACATTAATTGATTATAAACAATCTACATACGTTTCGGCACACATTGTTCGAATGGATTGCCAACATAGTTGGGTGGGCAGGAGCAGATGGGATTGTGGTTGTTCACCCGACACTTGGCGTTGAATCCGCAATTCTCAGCACAGGGATCCGTACACTTCTGGTTGATGCAGGCCAGATGCTGGGCACACTCCGAGCTGACCACACATTCGGGTCTGCACTGGGGCGGAGCTCCGAAATAGCCAACCTGGCAGCTGCACGTGGGATGTCCCTCGACGGTGCGACAGACGCTATTGGGTCCACACGGATTCGGTTCACACACGCTTTCGGGTCGCACAATTGGCACTCGCTTGCATCCTTCGAACGGATTACCCTCGAATCCTCGAGTGCAACTGCAAGAGGCCAAGTGATTTACCACTGCGCACTCCGCATTAGCTCCACAGGCAGCTGTGCAGGGATCGCGACAGTGCTGCTTGATGCAGGCCAGCGACGAGGGACACTCCGAGCTGTAGATACATTCCGGACGACATCCGGTGCTGTACGGATCGCCATTGTAGGGCTCAATGCAGGTACAGCGAGCGGCATTATTGTGAGGTGTGCAAACAGCGTTCTCTGCACAAGGATTCGGGTAGCATGGATTGATTTGGTCATTGGGTCTTGCTGTAACCTTCTTGGAGCAACCGATGAAGGCATCTCCCTCGTAGTCATCATCGCAGCTACAGTGGGCGGAGTGCGCAATGACCGTACAACGGGCATTATGCCCGCAGATGTTGGCACACGGATTCTGGCACTTCTCCTGGATGCAGGCCTTGTCCGTAGGACACTCACTGCTCAACGTACACTCCGGTCGGCAGTATGGCGGGCTGCCAATGTAGTTGGCCACACAGGAGCAGACTGGTCGGTTCTGTTTGATTTGGCAAATGGAGTTAGGTCCGCAGGGGGACGGAACGCATGGGTTCTTTGCGACAGCGATATCGCGACCTGGATCCTGAGCGGGTGAGCAGGCCACAAATGGATCGCCCTCGAAGTTGGCCTCGCAAGAGCAAATGGGATTGTGGTTGAGCACTTCGCAGCGAGCTCCTCCACCGCAGATACCCGGACAGGGATCGGCACATCTCTGGTTGAGACACGCCTGGTTGGGGGCACACTCCGAGCTAACCACGCACTCTGGCTGGCAGACTGGTGGAGCTCCCTTGAAGTTCGGCAGGCAGGAACAGGCTGCATAGCCATCTGTAGTGGTCTTGCAGCGGGAGTTCGGTCCACAGGGCGATGGCTCACATGGATTAGGTCGCACTAGAGGTGGAGGCAGGTAGAAAGGATTGCAGGCAATGGAGGCGTCTCCGCTGTAACCCTCGGCACAGATGCAAACCGGTGCATGGTTCACCACGCGGCAAATGGCATTGATGCCACAAACGCCGGCACAAGCCTCCACGCACTTGGAATTCAGGCAGGCCTTCTCCGCAGGACAGTCACTGTTGAGCACGCACTCCGGTCTGCAACCGATGTGTGGGTCTCCGAAGTAACCCTTGCGGCAGACGCAGGCCAGACCGCTGTGCTGACGCTTGCACTCCGCATTGACACCACAGCGGAGCTTGGCGCAGCTTGGTTGTGGTGGTGGCTCCACCACCGACTGCGTGGTGCACTGTTCGTAGGGATTTCCGAAAAGACCCGTGGGGCAAGCACAGACGGGATTGTGTTCGTACACATTGCAGATGGCATTTCGTCCACAAGATCCGGGACAAGGATCCTGACAGCGCTGGCCTAAACAGGCGCGATCAAACGGACAATCCGAATTGGCCACACACTCCGGTCGGCAGCGGGGATTCTGCTGGGCATTGGGTCCAAAGCAGGGATCACAAAGAGCCACTCCATCGCCAAACACCGAGCAAACATCATGGGGTCCACAGGGCGACGGGGCACACGGATCCCGCGAAACGTTCTTCAGTATTCCAATGGGTACGCATTGCAAGAAAGCATCGCCCACGAATCCGTCCAAGCAGAGACATACTGGAGTGTGCTGGCGCACATTGCAGATGGCATTGATGCCACAGATCGCTCCGGCACAGGGATCCACGCACTTGTGGTTAATGCAAGACAAGGTATCACCGCAATCCGAGTTGATGTCGCATTCTGGCCGGCATCCCGACTGAGGATCACCCAGATAACCTGGGATGCAGGAGCAGACAGCTCGGTTATTCAGCAACTTGCACTCACTATTCCTGCCACAAGGGCTTGGAACGCAAGGATTTGTCTTGGGATGATCCAGTGCATAGCAGCGAACTCCTGGGTTGCCAGTTAATCCGGCATTACAGGAGCAAACTGGGTGATGTTCCTCGACTTGGCAGTGGGCTCCTTGGCCACAGGCTCCGGGGCAGGGATCGTAGCAGCGGTAGCCCATGCAGGCCTTACTGTTGGGACAATCTGCATCTACCTGGCACTCGTAGCCGTGGCAACCAATCAGGGATGTGGGATCACCGGACAAGCCGTCGGGACAAACGCAAGCGGTTTGTCCGTCGCCGGCCACCACGCAGTTAGCATTGGGTCCACAAGGATTGGGATCGCAAACGGTGCGACTGGGTTCACGGCATCCTTGATAAGCATCTCCCACATATCCGGAGCGACAGTAGCACTCCTCGCGATTTCCAGCCACATAGCAGTCGGCATTTTTGCCGCAAGGTCCTGGTTGACAAAGCTCAATGGTAACAGCCGGCTTGTCGCACAACCTGAACGGATTTCCAATCTTGTTGTCCGGACAGTAGCAGACGGGCTGACGCGATGAATCGCAGATGGCACCAACTCCACAGGGATTGGGGTCGCATGGATTGATAGGTTCAACGCAGCCTCGGATGGTGTTCGGGCTCTCCACATAGTTCGGCAGACAGGTGCACTTGGAGAAACCGTTGCTGAGAACGGAGCACTGGGTATTTGGTCCACATGGCGACGGATCACAGGGGTTTGAGGGCAGTTCACAGGGAATCGACGGCGGTTGACCCTCGTATTCCGGCAGGCAGAAGCAAATCGGGTTGCCATCCACGCGACGGCATCCAGAGTTGGGTCCACAAGGATTTGGCGTGCACTCGTCTCCCTCAGGAACTATAACAAGATCAAAATAAGGATTAGCTTAGGATCTCTTATAATTCTTATACCTATAGACAATACTCACTGCAATTCTTAAAGGGATTTCCTGTAAGACCCTTGGGGCAGTAGCAGATGGGATTACCATTGTCCAGCTCGCACAGGGCATTTAAGCCACATGGATTGGGGTCGCAAGGGTCTTGAGGTGGACTGCAGCCCACCTGGGGATTGCCGTTGTAGCCAGGAGGGCACTTGCATACACCGCGATGGTTGACCACATCGCAGAGGGCAAAAGCTCCACACTGGCAGGGCGATGAGCACTTTCCGTTGATGCAGGCCTGACTGGAATCACACTCGGAATCGGAACGGCAACCCTGACTGGGAAGACACTGCACATAGGCGTTTCCGAGGAATCCGGGCAGGCAGCGACAGTCAGTTCCATGGTTCACGGGTATACACTCGGCATTCTCGCCGCACGAGTCCTCTTGGCAGGGATTAATGCAGCGACGGTTCAGGCGATCACAGAGCTTCGTCGGCGGACAGTCCTCGTTGTATTGACAGACATGGGTACGTGCTGTGGTTTTGGTTAGGATTACGGTGCGATTCGGTTGGATCGGTGGGTGTATTTATAGTTTGTTGGTTGGTTTTTAGAGTTGATTGTGGTGTTGGGACGGTACAAGTTTTATACATGTGTCGTGGTGTACGGGGATTTGTACAGTGTATGAAAGAGAGAGATTTGTTGAAAACGAGACATGGTGACACATTAGCAGAGGATTTTTTGAAGGACAACATAGGTGCGCCATCGTGTTGATTATGGGTATACTAACCTGGCTGACAGCCAACAAATCCATTGCCCTGGAAGCCATCTGCACAGCTGCAATCGGCTGCATGGTTGGTGTTAATGCAAACGGCATTCGTGGCGCAAGGATCATGGACATCGCAAGGATGCTGGCAGAGCTGATTTATGCACGCTTCCGTGACACCACAGTCCGAATCGTCAGTGCATTCAACTGGAAATTGGTAAACCATGTTATCAAGGAAGCAAAAGCGAAGCATTTATAGTCAAAGTCTTGATAGTTAATCCCATGCATTAAATGAAGTTGGTTGATTAATTGATTAGTGCCTTACTTGAGGTTTGAGTGGTTACACACTTGACCATCGGATTGCCCTCATGGCCCTGCGGACAGGTGCAAACTGGTCGATGACTTTTGGCCGTACACTTGGCAGTCGCGGCACAAATCTTGGCAAACTCGCAGGGATCCTGGCACAGACCCATGTAACAGGCCTCGCTCTCAATGCAGTCGTTGTTAGATTGACAGGGTTCGGGTGTTTTCGGTGAACCCGGCGGTTCTACTTGTTAGAAAGGATTTAGTGAGTTAAATAGTTAATTAAATGATGATGATATTTCTTTTTAACAAAACCATAAATATGTACAAGGGCTATGCTAGGTATGTACAATTTTTACAACAAAATTATTTGGTAGTGCCGGAAACAAGCCCTATACATAGGATTTTATGTACAATTGAACTGTATTAGTGTCACTTTGGGAAAAAAGAGATCGCCACATTTAAATCTGACTTCATATGTAGCCAGTTTAAAGGGATTCAATGGGTTAGATCCCAAAGTGGCGTGCATGTCACATATAAAGTTAATATACCTTTCTTACGGCAATGGCCCAGCTTACAGTGCTCGTTAGGAGCACAGTTAGTATCTACTGTACATGGGTTAATTAATGAGGTGTCAGTGGTGTTGCCCAGCGGAGCAATCATGGTGTTGTAGACCTCCGTGGTGGTGCCCTCCGTGGTTGGCAGCTCGATCGGCCAAGGTGTAGTGGTATCTGGGACTTCGTTCGAAGTATCCAGCCGGGTGGTCTTCATTTTGGGCGTCGTAGTAGACCGCCTCTGACTGTCGCCTATGATATCTTCGCCTCGCAACTTTGTCATCTGGACCGTGGGCCTTGGAGTTGGTGTATCGGTTATATTGTTCTCACCATCGCGATAGCGTCTCGTGGCATCGGTGTGGGAGGTGGTGCTTTCTGTGTCTGGTTTGTGATTCTTACTGGTCTGGTTAGTAGCGCTTGTGATTGTGCTCGATTCAGTGCTAGTGGAGGAAGTGGTAGTAGTGGTTGTGGTCGTGGTTCTTGTGGTGACCCTTGTGGTTGTCGGCGTCGTTTTGACGCCTGTGTTTGGGTTAGCTGTTGTTCTTGGTTTCGTTGGTATCTTGGTAGATGTGGAGTTCTTGGTAGTAATAGTTGTTATTGTTACGTTAGCTAAGGAGAGAGATGTATTTACACGGGTAACGGGAGGTTAATTTAATATTAGAATATGTACACATTGTATTTACACTTAACATTAGGAGTTTTAGCTTGATTAAGTTAAAGAACTTTTAGTCGAACTTACCCTTTATACAAGCACCTGTCGTGGGATCGCAGTTCGCGCCTGGTGGACAATGCTCACAGCCAGGTGTGCGACCATGTTCTGCAGGATTAAAATATTATTCATTTGAATCAATTTCGAAATGTTCATTGATACCCACCGGCTGAGCACAGCGGCTGATGGTTGAACACACGGCAATCTTCATTACGGCTGCAGGGATTGTCGTAGGTGCAAGGATCCACGCAAAGAGCATTAATGCACGCCTGCTGGGAGGGGCACTCATCACTCGATGCGCAACCGATTTCTGTACGCAAAGGACATTATCGAATTAGTTGGGGTACTCAGAGACATTTTATCTTAGCACATATGTGCGTTAATAATTTAAGTCGTAATAATTTAAGTCATTCCTTTTATTTAGGTCAAGAATCCTGTTCGGTAGGTAGTTTTCTTTTTTATTAATTTTTCAATGCAGTTAGTAGAACTTTTTCTTTTAATATCCTTATTCTAACTGTTCAATTCCAGATTCAAGCAAACTAAATACTATGTAGCAGGCCTTAGCATTAGTTTAAAATTGTTAAGTTTTAAGCTGTTTCTTAAAACAACATATACACATGCAAAAGCATTAAGTGAGTTAGTGCATTTATTAGCTAAGGTTTGTTATTATTAGTAATCCATATACCACATGCAAAACATTTTTCTAATACACTTACGATACATGATTAAGGACAACGAGTATGTACTAAATACAAAAAAATCAACACAGATTAGAACACATTTTAAAGGTGTCGCACTGAGATAAAAGACATGCGAGTTGAGATCATTCGAAGACATAACGAGAAACATTCAAAGTGGTGTGGACTATGGCTGAGGATTTGATGATGATTCTTGCAGCAGGCATTCAGGCAGACAACAAGCAGGCAACTAACATGAACGAGCAACATTGCAACATAAATCGACATGCAAACGACTGCTGTAGAGAGTGAATTCCCCGGGAACTCCCATTGGCATTCGGTCAAAAGCTTTCTTTGGTGGACACACAGAGTTCAAACTATCTCGGGTGCTGCTCGTGGTGAAGAGATCGGTGGGTGAAGGTGCAAGGCTTTCGACGAAATACAGCCAGAGAAGCAGTAAAAATAAGAGGGGTAACAGAGACAAATGCATTTGGAAAAGTTGAAAACAAAGAACACACGGGAATTGCAGAAAATACTCCATATGGTTGCATGCAAGGTTCCCGCACGATTTGAATGGCTTGTCATACATATATATGGGCCACAAGAAGGATAATGGCTGGCGTTCCAAGAGAAGAGAAAGAAATCATGACATCAAACTGAAGTAGGCTACTACAATTTGCCAGTTTTGTGATTGGCGTTGAAAGTAGTCGACGATGCCAAGAGTTTACCGCAACCCTGTGGTTCCTTGCAATTCATTCATTATGATTTGATAACAAGACTTACAACCTATATACACAACTTTAGTTACCTGCTTTCATAGAGCAATCGGGTCTATTTACATCATCGGCGGTATCGCAGATGCACATAGTGGTGTGGTTCAATGTACGACAAATAGTCAGATTCTGCACCGTGCACAGGTTGGTAAAGTATTCACAGGGCGATATGCACAGCCCTCCTAAGCAAATCTGTTCGTCCAAGCAGTCATGTTCTATTCTACAGTTTTTAATTGATTCTAACGTAGGGCTATCTGTCACGGTAATGTCTTTTGGAATTATGTCCGTTACTTGAAGAGTAGTTCCTTCAATGGCCTTTGCGGTTGTCACTTCGCCAGGATATTGGGTCGTCTGTTCTGGCACTGGCCCTTGTGTTGTACTGATCGGAATGTTTGTGGTGGTTTCGGCGGTGATTGATGGGATAGTGGTTTCTAATGGTGCTGGACTAAGAGTAGAGCTATCGTAAGAACTAGTAGATTCGGTCGTTCGTTCAGTCATTTGCCCTGTTGTTGTTTTAGAAGGGAAAGTCGTGGGTGATACCGGCATTTCGGATGGAATACTTGTATCCGTTGACCCTTCAGGAAGAATAGTTCCTTCAATGGTCTTTGCGGTTGTTACTTCGCTAGGATATTGGGTCGAACTTGTTGGTACTTCCCTAGTTGTATCGGTCGATTGTTCAGTCATATGACCTGGTGTTGTACCAGGACGGAAAGTCGAAGGTATTTCGGGACTTTCAGAAGGAATAGTTCTATCCGTGTACCCTACAGGAAGAGTAGTTCCTTCAATGGGCTTAGCGGTTGTCACTTCGCTGGGAAATTGGGTCGTCTGTTGTGGCACTTGCCCTCGTGTTGTACCAATCGGAATATTTGCGGTGGATTGGGCTGTGATTGATGGGACAGTGGTTTCTAATTTTGCTGGACTAAGAGTGGAGGTATCGTAAGAACTTGTTGGTACTTCCCTAGTTGTTTCGGTCGTTTGTTCAGTCATATGACCTGGTGTTGTACCAGGACGGAAAGTCGTAGGTATTTCGGGACTTTCAGAAGGAATAGTTCTATCCGTGTACCCTATAGGAAAAGTAGTTCCTTCAATGGGCTTTGCGGTTGCAACTTCGCTGGGATATTGGGTAGTCTGTTGTGGCACTTGCCCTCGTGTTGTACCAATCGGAATATTTGTGGTGGTTTGGGCTGTGATTGATGGGACAGTGGTTTCTAATTTTGCTGGACTAAGAGTGGAGCTGTCGTAAGAACTTGTTGGTACTTCCGTAATTGTTTCGGTCGTCTGTTCAGTCATATGACCTGGTGTTGTACCTGGACGGAAAGTCGAAGGTATTTCGGGACTTTCAGAAGGAATAGTTCTATCCGTGTACCCTACAGGAAGAGTAGTTCTGTCAATGACCTTTGCGGTTGTCACTTCGCCAGTATATTGGGTCGTCCGATCTGTGACTTGGCCTCGTGTTGTACCGATCGGAATGTTAGTGGTTGTTTGGGCGGTGATTGATGGGACGGTGGTTTCTAATGATGCTGGACTAAGAGTCGAGCTATCGTAAGAACTCGTTGGTACATTCCTAGTAGATTCCGTAGTTTGTTCAGTCATTTGTCCTGGTCTTGTACCTGGAGAGATAGTCGTGGGTGTTTCGGGACTTTCGGAAGGAAAACTTCTATCCGTTGCCCCTACAGGAAGAGTAATACCTTCATTGGCCGTTGCGGTTGTCACTTCGCCAGTATATTGGGTCGTCCGATCTGTGACTTGGCCTCGTGTTGTACCGATCGGAATGTTTGTGATGGTTTGGGCGGTGATTAATGGGACGGTGGTTTCTAATGATGCTGGACTAAGAGTGGAGCTGTCGTAAGAACTTGTTGGTACTTCCCTAGTTGTATCGGTCGATTGTTCAGTCATTTGTCCTGGTGTTTTACCTGGAGAGAAAGTCGTTGGTGTTTCGGGACTTTCGGAAGGAAAACTTCTATCCGTTTTCCCTTCAGGATGAGTAGTACCTTCAATGGCCTTTGCGATTGTTACTTTGCTGGGATATTGAGTTGTCTGATCTGTGACTTGCCCGCGTGTTGTACCGATCGAAATGTTTGTGGTGGTTTGGGCGGTGATTGATGGGACGGTGGTTTCTAATTTTGCTGGACTAAGAGTGGAGCTGTCGTAAGAACTTGTTGGTACTTCCCTAGTTGTTTCGGTCGTTTGTTCAATCATATGACCTGCTGTTGTACCTGGACGGAAAGTCGAAGGTATTTCGGGACTTTCAGAAGGAATAGTTCTATCCGTGTACCCTACAGGAAGAGTAGTTCCTTCAATGGGCTTTGAGGTTGCCACTTCGATGGGATATTGGGTCGTCTGTTGTGGCACTTGCCCTCGTGTTGTACCAATCGGAATATTTGTGGTGGTTTTGGCTGTGATTGATGGGACAGTGGTTTCTAATTTTGCTGGACTAAGAGTGGAGCTGTCGTAAGAACTTGTTGGTACTTCCCTAGTTGTATCGGTCGATTGTTCAGTCATATGACCTGGTGTTGTACCAGGACGGAAAGTCGAAGGTATTTCGGGACTTTCAGAAGGAATAGTTCTATCCGTGTACCCTACAGGAAGAGTAGTTCCTTCAATGGGCTTTGAGGTTGCCACTTCGATGGGATATTGGGTCGTCTGTTGTGGCACTTGCCCTCGTGTTGTACCAATCGGAATATTTGTGGTGGTTTTGGCTGTGATTGATGGGACAGTGGTTTCTAATTTTGCTGGACTAAGAGTGGAGCTGTCGTAAGAACTTGTTGGTACTTCCCTAGTTGTATCGGTCGATTGTTCAGTCATTTGACCTGGTGTTGTACCAGGACGGAAAGTCGAAGGTATTTCGGGACTTTCAGAAGGAATAATTCTATCCGTGTACCCTACAGGAAGAGTAGTTCCTTCAATGGGCTTTGCGGTTGTCACTTCGCTGGGAAATTGGGTCGTCTGTTGTGGCACTTGCCCTCGTGTTGTACCAATCGGAATATTTGTGGTGGTTTGGGCTGTGATTGATGGGACAGTGGTTTCTAATTTTGCTGGACTAAGAGTGGAGCTGTCGTAGGAACTTGTTGGTACTTCCCTAGTTGTATCGGTCGATTGTTCAGTCATAAGACCTGGTGTTGTACCAGGACGGAAAGTCGAAGGTATTTCGGGACTTTCAGAAGGAATAGTTCTATCCGTGTACCCTACAGGAAGAGTAGTTCCTTCAATGGGCTTTGAGGTTGCAACTTCGATGGGAAATTGGGTCGTCTGTTGTGGCACTTGCCCTCGTGTTGTACCAATCGGAATATTTTTGGTGGTTTTGGCTGTGATTGATGGGACAGTGGTTTCTAATTTTGCTGGACTAAGAGTGGAGGTGTCGTAAGAACTTGTTGGTACTTCCGTAGTTGTTTCGGTCGTTTGTTCAGTCATATGACCTGGTGTTGTACCAGGACGGAAAGTCGTAGGTATTTCGGGACTTTCAGAAGGAATAGTGCTATCCGTGTACCCTATAGGAAGAGTAGTTCCTTCAATGGGCCTTGCGGTTGTCACTTCGCTAGAAAATTGGGTCGTCTGTTGTGTCATTTGCCCTCGGGTTGTACCAATCGGAATATTTGTGGTGGTTTGGGCTGTGATTGATGGGACAGTGGTTTCTAATTTTGCTGGACTAAGAGTGGAGCTGTGGTAAGAACTCGTTGGTACTTTCCTAATGGATTCCGTAATTTGTTCAGTCATTTGTCCTGGTGTTGTACCTGGATAGAAAGTCGTGGGTGTTTCGGGACTTTCGGAAGGAAAACTTCTATCCGTTGTCCCTTCAGGAAGAGTAGTTCCTTCAATGGGCCTTGCGGTTGTCACTTCGCTGGGTAATTGGGTCGTCTGTT